TATAATCAATATCCAACTATTTTCGCATAGTGTTCTAAGGATTTATATAGCGTAAGCATACTATGCCGAAATAGTGCACGGCTGTCTTTTCTAGAGAAAATGTATTTAGCACCCACGCTGGGGATCGAACTCACGATCTCGAGAAGGTCAGTCAAACGCGTTAACGATTACGCCACAAACACCGCTACTTTAGGGAATGTATTTTCAAGTATCTAAACGTAGTTTTTATACATTTGTCACAAAACAAGAAATAAATGAATATAATTTCTATAAGACTGATATTATTGATAAGGATCTTAAAGAAAAATTCTCTAACAAATAATCGAATTTTTCAGTAACCAAAATTGCAACGTAACATGAACTGGTTCTTCGGAGTCAATAAAACGCTTTTTGATATAACGCTTGATCAAAGAATGTTGAAGAAAATTTTCATTTAGATTTAACGTCTGCAAACAGGTTTGGGATTGAGAATTTAATTAAATTGTCGTATACAAACAACAGTCAGCATAATAATTATAATAGTGTTATTATTTGGATGTACTATGCCGAAATAGTAGTCAGGGTTTGACACATAGTGCACTCGCCTCCGGCTCGTGCACCATGTGTCAAACCCTGACTACTATTTCGGCATAGTACATCCAAATAATAACACTATTATATAAATATAGTTTATCTGATAAATATAGTTTCACGATTTGTAAACTATGATTTACAACTCTAAACTATACCTAACAAATGTAAATTATAGTTTAGGCTTTGTAAAGTATACTTTACAGACATACAAAGCGCCAAATTCACAAAAATGCGATAAACATAGTTTTACACTTGAGAAACACAGTTTAGGAACAGAATCTCTTATTTTGTATCGGAGATGCACAATTTTCTGTGAAACTAGATTTCACTACTCTAAACCATAGTTTACGATCAAAACTATAGTTAACAATAGTTTTTTTTTTTGTAAATTATAGATCGGTTAATCCTAGTTACAGCATTATAAGATTTTGCTATGTAACGACAATTGTTGTTAAATATATATGCATGTATATTTCTTGTTGGCGTTATTATATAAATAGTGCACGTTTTTGAGGGTAACAGTTGAAATTGACACCCCAAGGAAAACCATTGTCAACCGACGCGTCAGCGGAGGTTGACAATGGTTTTCCGAGGGGTGTCAATTTCAACTGTTACCCTCAAAAACGTGCACTATTTATTTTATTATACTGAATGTCTTATTGATTTCGGATGTCATAAAAAAAATTCGGAGATCGTCGTTAAGTTCACGCTTAGAAAGCTTTCAAACTCCCTGCTTCTATTTTTCTCAATAAGAAAGCTTCGGAAAAGATTTACCAACCTCTCTATTGTTTGTTTGCTACTCAAAAAGTCCTTTATCATCTAAAGTTTGCACTCGCAAGGATGTTTCGTCTGTCGTTTGTTGTTTTCAAGTAAGCTACATCGGACGCAAGCTTTTATTGACGTCGTTTATTCGGCTTCTTTCAAACGCACAACCGACGTTTTGAGAATTCTATGGTGAACCGTACGCGCATGATTTGAACGCATGTGATATTTTCGTAATGTTACCCGTTGTCAAGTGTGTTGCTAACGCTGAGGGTAATATTACGGATTGTTAAATGCTTCTAAACCAATCAGATTTTAGTATTTAACATGAAAGTATAATAAAAGTAAATGTTCTATTATTTTAAAGCAAATCTAGTTGGAAATAAAAAGAAAAATGACTGGAAAATTATTGATTAAAATTTTATTTTTTTGATTTAAAAGAAAAAAATAGAGACCGAAATGCGTGATCTGTCATTAATAAAATACATGTATATCTTATATTCATCTGTAAATAAAGACATAACACAGTACATGTGACATTGCAGGCGCGGAATTTATTTTTCAACAACCGAATTTTCTTCATACATAAATAAAAGTGGCCTTTCACGGAACAAACACAACAAATATTTGGGACTTCTCTCTCATTCTCTCTCTCTTAAATTCAAAGGAGGACGTTGAAACCCCCACAACCCTATCTATCCGCCACTGCATTTCCTCTCTTTCAGTTTCTTTGTTTTGGTGATGAGATGTGGCGGGAAAATGCTTGGCACATTGTAAAACGCGCTTCACCCTCCTCTGCTTGAGCAAAAATCTCGTTATATTCTGTCTTTTAAAAAATTAAAATTTTATCATATTTCTAAAAATTTCCCCATAGGAAATGTATATATACACGACATTTTAAAACAAATACAATTAATCCTGTTTAAATAGAGAAAGTAATATTGATTATATGTAACTCGGTCTTTGCTTTAGATAATGCCCAACACGTGTCCTTAATATAAAACCTATACCCCATTATTGCTTCTCGCGATTGGTGCCGCGAAATTTCGAATTGAAAACTATCGTTAACAGTTAACAGGTGTTTAGATTCATAAACTATATTTAACAACTCTTAACTATAGTTTACGAATGTGAATTATAGTTTATTACGATAAACTATGATTGGCAAATGTGAATCATTGTTTAGCTCTCAAAACTATAGTTTACGATCGATAAGTATACAGTTTACGTCTGTTAAATATAGTTTGTGAGTATAAATGACAGTTAACTATAGTTTACAACCGAAATCTATGGTTAACGAATGTAAAACATAGTTTATCTGATAAATATAGTTTCACGATTTGTGAAACTATGATTAACAACTCTTAACTATAGTTCACGATTGTAAATTATAGTTTACAGATGTGAATCTATGTTTATCAACAAAATCTATTGTTAACGTTTAATTACAGACAGATAAACTTAGATTAGCATTCGTAAACTATAGTTAACAACCGTTAAATATAGTTTTACAGATGAAAACTATAGTTAACGAATCGTTAACTATAGTTCACGGTTTGTAAACTATAGTTTACAGTCGATAAACCTAGTTTATCAACTGTGAAACTAAGTTTCGCTAATTTTTGTGAAATTGGCGTGCCATATATATGTTCTTATGTAAAATTTTTGATCCTGCATTATGGCCCGACCCTATCCCCGGGGGTCATCATTTTAACAAACTTAATCTACACTACCTGAGGATGCTTCCATATCAAAATGACTAATCATGGCTTTGCAGTTCTTCAGCAGAAGAAATCTTCCTATATATTTCTATTTAAGACTTTGATCCTCCACTATAACCCCACCCTACCCCCGTGGATCATGATTTGAACAAAATAGAATCTACACTACCTGAGGATGCTTCAATATAAATATGATAAATCAGGGCTTTGCTGTTTCTGAGAAGATGTTAAAAATTTTCCTGTAAATTTCTTTGTAAAACTTTGATCCTCCATTGTGGCCCCACTCTACCCCCGGGGGTCATGATTTGAATAAATTTGAATCTACACTACCTGAGGATGCTTCCATATAAATATGACTTAACATGGCTTTGCTGTTCCTGAGAAGATTTTAAAAGATTTTTCCTATAGATTTCTATGTAAAACTTTGATCCTCCATTGTGGCCCCGCCCTACCCCCAGGGGTCATGATTTGAACAAACTTGAATCTACACTACCTGAGGATGCTTCCATATAAATATGACTCATCATGGCTTTGCTGTTCTTGAGAGGATTTTTAAATGGTTTTTCCTATATATTTCTATGTAAAACTTTGATCCTCCATTGTGACCCTGCCCTACCCCCAGGGGTCATGATTTGAACAAACTTGAAATTACACTACCTGAGGATGCTTCCATATAAATATGACTCATCATAGCTTTGCTGTTCTTGAGAAGAAGATTTTTAAAGGTTTTTCCTACATATTTCTATGTAAAACTTTGATCCTCCATTGTGGACCCACCCTACCCCTGGGGGTCATGATTTGAACAAACTTGAATATATAAATATGACTCATAATAACTTTGCTGTTCTTGAGAAGAAGATTTTTAAAGATTTTTCCTATAGATTTCTATGTAAAACTTTGATCCTCCATTGTGGCCCCACACTACCCCGGGGGTGGGGGGGGGGGGGGTGGGGTGGGGGTGGGGGGGTGGTGTCATGATTTGAACAATCTTGAATCTACACTACCTGAGGATGCTTCCACACGAGTTTCATCTTTCCTGGCCCTGTGGTTCTTGAGAAGATTTTTAAAAGATGCTATTAATTTTTCACTAATTCTTTATTATCTCCCCTTGAAAGAGGGCGTGGCCCTTCATTTGAATAAACTTGAATCCCCTTCACCCAAGGATACTTTGTGGCAAGTTTGGTTGAAATTGGCCCAGTAGTTCTGGAGAAGAAGATGAAATTTTGAAAAGTTTACAACGATGCCGACGTCACAGGCGACAGACAACGGACAAATTTTGATCAGAAAAGCTCACTATAGCCTTTGGCTCAGGTGAGCTAAAAAGGCCGTAATTCTAAATAAACGAAGCATAATGAAGTTTAAACTTGATGTGCAACTCATCAATTTAAGGTACACTCACGTACCAGAGTTCAGCTCAATATCTTACCAGCGTATAAAAAATTGAACTGAAAGACAAGTGGGACTGTTTGACAGAGGGACGGACAAACAGCAGAGGAGGAAACCTGTAGTCCCCTCCGATTTCAAAGGTAGGGACTAAAAATCTTCGCCATGGAATTTCTGAAATCTTGTTGTAGAACACACAACCTATCCTTCCAGTCTAGGTCTGCTTACCAACTACAGTTAAACATTTTATTTTTCAAAACTCCTAATACCTGCAATAACTGTTTCCTTGTACATGTACATGTATACGCTACTCATTAAATACATCTACCCTCGTCATTCATTATATTGTCTTGACAAACAATGACTTTTTTTTAAAAAGCATTCCCTTCATAGGCGTCGGAACCCGGGGGGGGGGGGGGGCTTTTTGCAAAGATAGACATAATATAGGCATTGAAAATTGGGGCTTACCTTTTTTCGCTGGTTTAGCCCCCCCACTTTCAATTTGCTTCTGACGCCTATGCCCTGGAAGCATGTTTGGGTTGAAATACATGTATAAACATATTTAAACGTACCAAATTAACACAAAATATATTTATTATCATGAAGATTCTTTTACAAAACTGCATGAATAAAACATTTCAAAGTTCGAATAATACTGACCAAAAGAGAAAACTAATTCACCAAAAACAAAAATTTATAAAGTCTTAGTAGAGATTCTTTGCACATTCACCACCGATTCTTTTGTCGACCTTTGCTCTTTTTTGAGTTCTTGCTCTTCCACTTGGGTACAGGTTTTTCTTTAGTGGATACAGATGCATTAGGTTTTTGATTTTCTTCCTCCTCCACATTTCCACTTGCTTGGACTGACTGACAACAGGAATCCATTTTGGCTTCAAGGGATCTCTCCACCTGATCCATCTCGCATCTTCCTTTCTCTATTTCAGAGAGAACCTTCTGAGCTTGATCTGCATTCCTTCTTTTCTCTGAACTGACAGATCGCTCCATTGCAGACTGTTTTTTCTGGCTGTCTTTTGAAAAAGCACTCTTGTCATCTGCAACATGACCATGCTTTTCTTTGTCAATTTTCTGATTAGCATCATCAGTGCTGCCAGCATCTCCACCATGGTGTTTAATAGGCACTTCTGCTTTTAATGGTAAATCCTCACTTTTTCCTTTCACTGACTTTGACTTCTCACCGATTTGTTTTGTATTTGATAGACTCCCTGATTTAGTTTTAGAAGCTTTAGGTATTCTTGAAGGTGTAATATTTCCAGTCTTCAGATGATCAACTTTAGTGTTACTATTCCAGGGAGGTTTTGAGGTCTGTTTTAATTTTTCATCTGACTTGGAAAGCTTTCTTGACATTTTCAGTTTGGTAAATTGTCCATCACTCTCACTGCCCTTGGATGTGGAAGATTTAGCAGAATTGTAGCGTTTCTTTGTAACATCAGAATGGTAGATGCCACCAAGAGAATCCTCGGGTCTTTTGACTTCGTACATGCTTTTAAACAGCCTTGCTCCATCACTTTGACTGAGACAGTAATTATGAGGGTCCTCTGGCCTGTTCATAGCTCTGTCTTCCAAAGCAAGATCATCCCTAGAAGTAAACACATCTTGATCAGCGTCAAGTTCCTCTTCCACCACCTCAGTAGCCTTCTCTACAGAGTTTTTCTTTTCCACGTCATTCAGTAACTTACAGGGAACTTCAACATTCTCTGCAACAGACAAATCACAAACATTGACAAACTCTGTGGGTGATTTACAAATCTCAGCACAACTTTCTTCACTTAACAAGGAATCACTCTTAGGAACATTCTCTGTGTTGTTACTAGATGAGACAACATTACATTGAACATCACCATGTTCCTGCTCAGATTTCAGCTTTGTGATGGATGTTACATTAGGAAGCACCTGTTGTAATAGAGACAGGTACTCCTCTGGACTGCATCTTCCTTCCTCTGCTCCACTGAGGTCATGCTTCACACAAATATCTATCTTCTCAAGTTCCTCTACAGATGTGTCAAAGCTGTTGGCAGATATTATGGCACTGTCCGCTGTCTGAATTGGTAAATCTTTACCATCATCACTAGATTCTTTCATGTCACTTTTCAAAGAATTATGTTTTTCATCATCTTTATTAGCATCAGCTTCAGAATCATGGGCTTGAAATTCTTCCAGGTTTGACCCAACTGGATGCCTGAATTTCAATGTCAATCCAGACAACAAATCAGCCACTTCTTTTTCCAACTTAGCTTTGTTCTGCATCAAATAGAGATTTTTCAGCTTTGCAGGTTGAGTAATTTCTGCACAACCAGAGGCAGGTGTATTTGGTGGAACTTCAAATTTTGGTGACACTACATAATCTGGGCTGACTAATAAAGTACCTGGATCTGTGTCTAAGTGGCTATTCTCAGGTTTGCTTTCCTCACAACTCTTTTCTATGTCTTCCAACACTTTCTCATTAGATACGGAATCAGAAAACTCAGAGAGTGGTGACTGATAGGCAGTTGTCAGCATTTCTCTCTCAGATTCCTTTCTCAGGAATGGACTACTGTCAATATCTGTTTCTGTAAAACTGGATATACTGGAAGTCATGTGCTCTGACTTGTCCTCAAACATGACCTGCTGTATACTTGGATTTATAAAATCTTGATTTTCCGATTCTCCAGCTTCATTCATTTCACCGAATCTTGGTAGCCTTGAGGATGCATCAGCTGTTATTTCACTTGTCAATATGTTTTCTTGCTGAGCATCTTTTGACTCCATTGACAATTCTACCAAGTTTGGTATGATTTCATTTACTGTGCCAGTTGAGCCTGACTGATGCTGTTCATTATTTGAATTAGTGTCTGTTGGTTTGTTCTCTTCAAGGCTCAATGCATCAATGCTGGACTGAATAATTTCATTAGCATATTCTTCCACTTCCTTGAATAATTCTGAATCACTGGGAATTGTTCTTTTATTTTCTGATACATCATGTTTGTCTGTACTTAAACTGGTGTCCTCTTCATCCTTACTCTGCTTCATTGACAATTCACTAATCACAGAATCCTGTTCTGTCTTTGGTTTCTTGGACTCCCTTGACACACTGTCATCTACTCTATCCTTCCTTTTTTCATACAAGTCAGATTTTCTCCTTTCTCTTCCAGAATGGGATTCTTTCTCCTCAATCATCTCCATGCCCTCTCTTCTACAAGCAGAAAAGTCAATCTCCCTGGCTTTCACAGATTTACCCTTCTTACAAGGCGATACCTTCTTCCTTTGTACCACAACATCAACTTGCTCAACAACAACTTCAGGTTTGAACCCATTTTCACCCCCTTCCTCATTCAGTTTTGTAGATGTATCAGACTGTTCAGCACTGGGTACCTTATGTTTTATTTCTTTAAATGTTTCACAGATTTCTTTCATGTCATGATTTTCTCTGAAATCTTCTTCAGCACTAGGTGTGTCAATCTTCTGTTTGTCAGCTTTGCCAACCATAGCTGGACTTACAAGTTTAGCACTAGATTCTTCAAGAATATGTTGACCCATTTCATCATGTTCTTCTCCAATTTTGTCTCCATTTTCTTGATTAGCACTAAGTTTGTCAATAGGCCTTTCACTGTCCCTTTCTTCAACCTCCTCTGTGGCTGTTTCTTCTGCTTCAACTTGACCTCCCTCACTTTGTTCTTCACAAAGCGTATCAGCCTCACTTAGAATTTCAGTCTTTTGGTCAGCACTAGACTTGTCAGTAATGTTCTCTCTGTCACTGGCAGCATTCTCCCTCACTATGTCAATACTTGGGTCCTTCTCTAATCTCACATCCCAACACATACCACTGGCCTCTCTTTCCCATCTCTTGGCCCTCCTGCAAGAAATTAAGAACTTCTGAAACATTTTATACATTTATGAATATATGTAAAATAATATTCAAAATCACAAAGGGATCTGTCTATTAACAGTGTAATCAGACCAAGTCCTAATGAATGATTAACAACTTAAGGGTTTCTTTACACCTGTCATCTACCTACAGTCAACTGGAATGAAAAGAACTGCATATATGGCACTGTATGGCCTTAAAATAATTGGATAGTTCTTATTAAAAGAGTAGAATTGCATTAATAAGAATTTTCTTTTTTACTTCTTCACAACAATCTTCACAAGGACTTTATTACTTGAACATGTACCTCTGGTTTCTAGCCTGCCACCTTTTCTTTTCTTTTGAACTGTTACTACCAAGTTTTGGCAAGTGACTGAAAAGTGAAAAAAAAAAGATGTTTAATATAAAAATAGTTAATAAAAGAAAACTATTTCTAAATGAAGTTAATATCAGTGATCTTGAAGAACATTTTTTTGAATGCTGATGATGCCAGAGCAACACAAAAGCTATCCTCAAGATGTCTTTACCATAAGCAATCAATGATTACTAAGCTCATCCTGATGAAAATCTTAAGTTTTAAGTTTAACCAATCAACAGAAACAAATCAGTTAGTCATGAGTTTTTCAGCAATATTGTTAAACATATTTCCAATATTTAAAAAAAGAATGCAATCTACATCTTCAAACGAATTTGTTATTTTAATATCATTTATGTACAATCATGATAAAAACCTGCATTTAATTCGCTTCCAAAGGTAGATGAAATTTAAAATCCTAATCAATTAACTAAGATATAATTAATATTCTTTCATATTTCAATATACTTTAATATTATTTATATGTGATCATTCTGAAATGAGAGCCCTTGATTGGTGAATAAACATCATATCTACAATGTATAAACAAGTGAATTTTTCATGTATCTATGGCTAGAACAATTTTTTACTATGATGCAAAACTGACAAATTTATGTATTTATTAATTTTTTTAAAATTATTATTTATTCAAATAAATTGTGATCATATGATTCTTTTAATACCGTATATAATTAATACAAGTCGGTTTTTTGGGAGTTAAACTTTCGTCCAAAACTCTTTATCCGACTTATACGCAAGTCATAAAAAGACTGGTATTTTAGTGGGTCATTCCTTCTAATTCAAGCTTAAAAAATAAAACCGACTTACAGGCGAGTATATACGGTATGTGATATAAAGTATAACAGAAAAAAAAAGAGACTGCTGATAACGTATTCATAAAATATAAATCAGGCCTGTTTGAACATCTATATATATAAAAAAAAAAATAAACAATGCATAAATGCAGCTGTCAATCAATTCTAATTATCTCCAAACCTGGCCATCAGTGTGTGTTCAGGTATGAAGTGATTTTCCGTTACCTAGTGTACATTTTCACACCTTTCTGTGCATTAAATAAACAAGCTGGCTAACTTGGCACAAATTTTACATGCTTCTTTTTCAAGGTCCGTGTTGAATGTTCTTGCGTCTCAATGTTATTGTAGTCATCAATATTACATGTAAAATATATATAGTTGCTAGGTTTGCCTGCTTTAATACCTAAAACAAATTTTATATTTATTTCTTGTAAAATACAAGTATGGATGAATTAATCGTTTGATTTACGGATGTTGATTTATAGAAAAAGAAATTCGAATTTTACTGTTTTTTTTTTTATATGGTGTATAAATTTTTAAGTGGACCACCGGTCCACCTATTCCAGAACATTTGGTGGACCTTCCAATTTTTTGGTGGACTCTGGCCACCGGTCCACCATTAGTGTCGAACCCTGCAATGTAGTTTGCTCATCATAGGATATATTCTTACTTATAATGAACCTGCTTCAAAAACTTAAACCTGTTCATTCATACAGAAAATGTAGGTTCGAACCAGTATCTGAAGCCAATTTGATAGTGTACATCCCTAGATCCATGCAGATTTAGTCACCACAGGACTTATAATTACTTAAACAAGAGGCCCAAGGGCCTTGAATCGCTCTTCTGATAAACTGTACAACCTATCACTTCTATTTGAAGCCTCTAAGTATCCTGTATATTTAGATAAACCCTTGAAATTCCAATTCACATTCTGAGAACCCAATATGATTCTAAGCCAACTAGTACCTGAGAGTTGGTCAGGTGACCTACTTATCACTTATCATTCTCTGAGGCTCCATCAACTAAATTTGATGATTCTAAGCCAATTAATACCTAAAATATTTTTTTAAAATTATAACCATAACATTTTATAAGTAGGTCACGGTGACCTACTTTTCAGTTGTACTCCAAGGACCCAAGATGCATCAACTGAAAAAGTTTGATGATTCTAAGCCAATAAGTACCCAAAATCTTTAATCAAAGCCATAAATTTTCAAAAGTAGGTCACAGTGACCTACTTTTCAGTTGTTGTACTCCAAGGACCCAAGATGCATCAACTGACAAAATTTGATGATTCTAAGCCAATTAGTACCCAAAATATTTAATTAAAGCCATAAATTTTCAAAAGTAGGTCACAGTGACCTACTTTTCAGTTGACCTACTCTGAGGACTCAAAATGCATCAACTGACAAAAATTTGATGAATCTAAGCCAAATAGTACCCGAAAATATTAAGTACAGCCATAAAATTTCAAAAGTAGGTCACCGTGACCTACTTTTCAGTTGTCATATTCCAAGGACCCAAGATGCATCAACTGACAAAATTTGATGATTCTAAGCCAATTAGTACCCAAAATATTTAATTAAAGCCATAAATTTTCAAAAGTAGGTCACGGTGACCTACTTTTCAGTCAACCTACTCCAAAAACCCAAGAGGCATCAACTGACAAAGTTTGATGATTCTAAGCCAATTAGTACCCGAAATATTTAATTAAAGCCATAAATTTTCAAAAGTAGGTCATAGTGACCTACTTTTAAGTTGACGTACTTCGAGGACCCAAGATGCATCAACTGACAAAGTTTGATGATCATAGGCCTTAAATTGATCAAAATATGCCTCTAAATCATTTTGAAAAAGAATGGCCGCAAAATTTAAAAAGTAGGTCACCATGACCTACTTTTGAGTCAACATGATATGAAGTCCTTAGATGCATCAACTGACAAGATTTGATGATCCTAGTCCTTATAGTAAGCAAAATATTAACATTTTAATAAAATGTAATTTTTGGTCAACTTTGAAGTGACCTTGAGACCAGGCCCTTTGCCCCAGGGTGATGCCTTGAACAATTTTAAATCTACAACATATCCTCATCCTTTTGTGTAAGTTTGGCGATAATCTGCCCAGTGGTTCTTGAGAAGAAGATTTTTTAGCAACCAGTACTTTTGTTTCTATTTTCCTAATTATCTCCCCTTGTTAAAGGGTCACAACCCTAGTTTTAGTATAAAAGGCAGCCCTTGGGTCAAGGATACCCTGTGACAAATTTGACAATAATTGGCCAAGGGGTTCTTGATTTATGGCCCATATTCTAAAAAGTTTACGCACACCACACAAATGGCCATAGCATTAGCTCTTTGAGCCTTTGGCTCAGAAGAGCTAAAAGGAAATCTGCTCCTAAAACAACAATTCCTCCAAAACCTTATATCTGCTCCAAGAATTAAAACCAAGCTCCAGGGCATTAAAACTTACAAGAGCTTACTTTTGATTTCAGTCTCATTTTCCACTGTAAAATTCTTTAGTAAAAGTGACACCAAGACAAAAAGTGAGCTCAACCAAGTTTTATGCTGCAGAGCCTGGTCTCACATTGATAAAATGTAGGTTAGATTCTGCATCTGATGCATGCTGGGTAGTGTATACCCAACATGCATGACCCATGAAAGTTTGGTAAGGTAGGGATTACAGTTACTTGGGAATGGATTTGTTTCTGAAACTTTAACAAAAACACCATTGCCTCTGGAACTTTAACAGGAACACCAATGTCCGAGTTTAGCATAAGCTAATCTCTATTTCATAAAGGTGAGCTAGAGTCAGCTGTAACTTAAGTTTTTTATTGATCAACTCTTAATTAACATGGGAACCTTGCTTGCCAAATCTTGCACTTACTCTGCTATCCAGGGTGGAGAAAAGAGAAGTTCAGCATGGTACCTACAGTGTTCAATCCAAACCACATACTGAAAGAACAATTGAAAGCATTTAAAATCAGTGCTCCAAGTCACAATTCCTACCAGGTCGCTAAATGGTGACCTAAAAATTTTTTTGGTCGCCATTTCAGAATTTCTGGTTGCTATCAACAAACATTTCACTCGCCATGGTGAAAACATTTTGTGAATAACACATTTACATGTAACATATAGTAAAAGCAAGGAACTGTAAAATTCATTTATGTACCTAGAATGTCTTTTTTTAAATTTATCAAAGATTACTTATTACTGTGACTTAACAATTTGCTAGGGTGAAGAAACCGCACTTATGAAATATAAGTTCACAGTTGTACAATGAAGAACACAAGTGTTTTATCCTGAATTAAAATTAATTCAATAAAATTGCAGCAAGTTTGACTGATGCGTGCATAAGGCATAAACTATTGAGATCTGATTTCGTCAGCTGTTTGTTATGTTTATTTTATTAACCTAACATATAAAACAGTTGTTGTCCATATTGCCAAAACATGATGATATTCAAGCAATACTGACCAAATGCTCCATTACAGTCCCTGAAACGTTCTACTTTCCCATTTTTCCGTTCGCTCACCGTTCGTTCACCGTTCGTTCAGCGTGCGTTCACCGTGCGTTCACCGTTCGCTCTCCGTTCACAGTTTTGCGTTCACCGTTCACCGTGCGCTCGCGTTCACCGTTCACAAAGCGTTCAGCGTTCGCTCTTCGTTCCGTTCACTTTGCGTTCACCTTGCGTTCAGCGTTCACCTATCGTTCAGTTTTCATTGTCATTCGGAACTCCGAAGTGAAAGGACTTATCTTTTTGTAGGGAAGGAGTTACAGGTTTTTTAATTCAATAACTAACATATCGTGTTTGAAGAATCATTATTTCATGCTGAAAAATATCAACGATATATATTTTTATTATTCCATCTTAGTTGTTAGATTATTTATTAAATTACTCTGGAAAATAAATGTTGTTATAAGCACATTCTGTATCTATGTAGAATGATGCTGAAATGTTAAATTTAACTAAGGGCAATGTGCAAATACTTCAAGCACTGCAACATTTTTTTGTTTTGTTAAAGACGACAAATCGTTAATGGTGATATAATTATCCAAGTCAAATAATCACGCAGCAAAATTACGAAAATATTTATTTCTAACACTTTTTCCCCAATTACTACAGAAAATATGATAGAACTAGTTCTGAGAGTTATACATAGTACTGCGCATATCCTGTTAATTTATTATCTTTGGAGCTTGGAATTAAATTGATAGTATGGTTAAAGGAAATATTTAGTTGAAATGTACTGCACTGCAGAATTTTCTCTACTATAATATGTAAAGTCTATAGTTATAGAGAAAAAATTCTTTCTTCACCGTGGCTTTATAGGTTTGCCATTCGATATGATTAATACCCCCCCCCCCCCATTTTCCCCGTAGATTGGTTACTTAGTCAGTCCTGTATTTCCAGAATATTTTAATTAACATTTTTTAAAAAAATGTAAGGTCTTTTTTAGAACAAAAATTTCAGTCTCAAAACAAACATGCATCTAAAAAAGTCACAAAACAATAGTAGTTCAAAATGTACACGTGTCGGCGGTGGTATTTGAAATTGGCGGAGAGTATGTTTCAAATTCAAGTGTTAATGCCCAATGTATTTTATTCATTTATTATTCAAATGTTGGGATCAAATCTAGAAATGATAAAAATAAATGTTATAACTTGTTGGAAATACTGGCACTTCGTCTTCGATGTTACGAAACTTTCACACCTGCACAGTGTCGAATGATTTTGATTGACAGGACAAGCACGTGGACTTCGTGTGAACTTGAAGCAGGAAAATAAAAACGAGTATGACTGTCAAACAAATGGATATGATTTGTTGATAATAAAAGAAAGTTACTTTTACTGTGTGATATATTTAGAAAAAAAAATTAAGAGTTTTTGTTTGATATAGGTACAAGCATTTAGTGAAGCCTGAAAGGAGGGGGGGGGCTAAAACGGAATCTCTCTCTCTCTCTCTCTCTCTCTCTCTCTCTCATTTGTCTGTTTAATAAAAACTATAACAGCATATTACTTAAATATCAAGTTCTGAAAATTGAATTTATAACAAATAATATGAATATGTATCTCTGTATTATCTTGTCCGAATATAACCACGGCCATCTACATATGCATGTAGAAGTCTGCTCAATAAATCATCATGAAAAATAGAAATGACACATAATATATTATTGTATTAAAAATTTAAAATACGAGCGTATAAATGCAAAACGTCCACTGACCTTTGTAATTATTTTTTTTTCATTACTTTGCACGAAATCGCCCTGACACGGAGATATATGAATGGATGTTACAACTGCTTTAAGTCAAGTTTTCTCTGATTTGTTTACACTTCAGCGTTCGGCAACAATTGCAATGTTTTAATGCAATAAAAATCGTGTGATTAAAACTTAATGTGCATGCATCGTCTTTCTTAGGACAATTTTGGAGAATTTATTTTATTGACTTATTTATTCATTCATTTATTGGTTTACTTATTTATTTATTTATTTATTTTTTTTTTGCACTGACATTATAAAACAATAAAATAGTTTCAATGCAAGGAAAAGATCAGAGGCATTCCGAATATATCGTTCATCTTGCGTTCACCGTTCGTTCACCGTTCACTTTGCGTTCGCGTTTGCGCTCCGTTCGCGTTCTGCGTTCGCTCACCGTTCAGCGTTCACACATCGTTCACCAAGTTGCGTTCAGCGTTCACACATCGTTCACTCACCGTTCGCTCTGCGTTCGTTCACCGTTCGTTCACCGTTCGCTCACCGTTCAAGTGGGAAAGTAGAACGTTTCAGGGACTGTAACAAGATCTGGTTTTAAAAAGAATACAACATTTTGACAGCCGTTCTGTTGACTGTACAGCATGCTGGCATATCATAATGTAATCTCAGTCTTTTCAACACTTAACAAAGTTTTAGGAATGTCTTCAAACATTTTCTTGATAGAGAATTTTGGGGAAAAAAGTAATCTCGATCCCGATCATAAAAATAGACAATCGCCAGCCCAAATATTCTCAGTCGCAAAAATGAGAGTTAGTTTTAATTTCCAGTCGCAAAATTAATTTTTTGGTCGCAAATGCGACCATTTTAGTCGCACTTGGAGCACTGAAAATTACTGTCAAAAGAGTCAGAGACCATAAACAAAGTAAACTATTTGTAAGCATCATTTAAAACATACTTAATTCAAATTCAAAATTATGACAAAAAAGAAACTAGAAGAACACGACTGATTACTTTCTTCCAGGGCTTTAAAAAGATGGTTAATGTTCAATAATATCCAATAATCTAGTCAATGAAATGAAAATTTTAAAACAACAAATGTTCTGAAATGTGTTATAATGTGATTTTCATATCAAAAGAAAAATTTGGAGAGATTTTGGAACATGAAATATCTTCTCCCCCCCCCCCCCCTTTCATATTCAGAAATACACTGTGAAGGAATATTAAGTTCTGAAGGAAATGATGATGGACATGTAAGCTTTCCTTTCATTCTGTCTTTACAAAAAAGCCCACCTTGCGTTTGACGGCAATTTTGTACTGGTCTAGTATGGCAGACTCAATGATTTTCTGGTCCACATTTAGCAGGCCCAGTTTATAGATGAGATGTTTGGCTGGGACTACCTCCCCTTGTGCTGTCTTCTGTAAAACAAACTCCAGATAGTTCTCTGGTTCTACATCTGTAGACTTTGTCTTCTCTACTTTCTGCATCTTTTTGGGCTCATGATCTGAGGAAATTAAAGTTTTCATGAAAATATATGTTTAACAAAAAACCTTGATTACAAACATAAGTTTTTTTTTCAAATTAGTTTTCATAACCCTACACACAAACAGGCTCTAAAGCAGCAGTTTATCCACACAGAGAATAATTATATATATCTGCAGTCAACAAACCTGGTTTAATCTCTTCTTGCTTCTCAGAGGCATTTTCTTTATCCTGTTGCTTGCTGTTATTTTGCTCCTCCTCTCTGCTGCCCTCATCATCATCTTTACACTGTGAGGACTTCTGAGACAGCTCTTCTACACTGATAGATGTGTCCTCCTCTGACAGAATCATGCTGACTTCCTGTACCTCTGATATCTTCCTGTTCCTCACTTCCTCTGAAAACATGTTTTCCTCTGAACCTTGTTTACTTGTCAATACATCTATATTTACTTTCCCTTCGGCTTCACTATCTGTCTTTTCAGTTTTGCTTAAGTCAGCCCCATCCAGATCTCGGCACACTGACTCCATCATGGCTGCTGTGACTGCCAGATCACTACCACAATGAGGCTCAGGTTGACTTTCGACCTCCTCATCAATAATCACAATACTCTCAGACACGGATTGTCTGGGCTGTCCATTTTTTCCTTCTGATACTAAATCTGAGTCCTCCAAATGTATTACTTCAATACTTCCAGACGAGTCCAAAGGTTTTTCTTCACTTGCCTCAGGTGTCTCTGCTTTAACTGGACTCGACTCGGATGAATCCACTCTGGCAGGACTAGATTCAGACAACTGTATTCTTACAGGACTCGACTTGGATGAATCCACTCTCGCAGGACTTAACTCAGATGAATCTATTCTTACAGGACTTGACTTGGATGATTCCACTCTGACAGGACTCGACTGGGATGAGTTTATAGCTTTCTCAGGACTGGATTCCTGGACCACTGAGATGTTTTCCCATGCTGAGTTATCCATTCCCACTGGTCTCTTGACTTCCCCATCCTCCCTCACCACAATGAATGAACCTGCACCCTCATCCTCAGTTTGATCTGCTGAAAATGACAACATTGCATGTAAGCTGGAAAATAAAATTCATGCACACATTTACACAATCAATCATCTGTATCAAAGATTTCTACTTATTTTATGTCTGCTATTCACAGAAAACATTTTTGATATCGATTAATAATTTGTTTTATGTAGTTTTATCTTCTATCTCTATAATCTGTAGTCAGATTACAGATCTTTTTTTTTCATAATACATGTACTAGCACTGACCAGTCTGAGAAAATTTACAGTTAAACAAGAATGTTTTCTGATTACAAGTTGAAAAAAAGAAAAAAATCAAATTGAGAAAAAGTGACAGTGGAATATATTTCCAATTACCTCAAAAAGCAAAACAATAAAATAAACATTCTATTAAATCTTTCTTTACAGAAATATATTTTGTCCTCTGTCTTATCTCCATTTCTTATTAAATAATTTCTGAGAGAGATTTATATTGCCATTTTTTTTGTGCCAGATCCATTATGATGTCATAATCAATTTAAATTTTCCTTTCCCATACTTTAGTGCTCTAATGAAATTATGTAGAAAATAAAGTATTTCCATGAAATTCATTTTGAAATTATGTGAAAAATAATCCCGATACCTATATATATTCAATTTAATATTATTTCAAAGAAGAGGCTAACAGCATATAAAAATTACTGTTTTCTGAGACACTGTAGGCAATTTAGATACATTTTCTTTATCAGACATCGAAAAAAAAAAAAATTAAGAAGTCTGTGAGCCAATGCTCACTTATAATACCCCCGCTCTGATGTGAATACACAAGTTCAGTTATTGACAAACACAGTGTTAATCAGGAAATTGAGATCGGATTTGTAAAAAATGAATCCCAACATATGGCATGCCTAAACAAACATCAGATTTGTACCAAAATGAATTCCAGTATATGGTATGCCTAAACAAAGATTGTGTTAAAATTTCAAGCATCTGCAATGAGTAGTTGCTGAGAAAACTGCGACCAAAAATTGTTATGTATGTTACGGACAGACACACGGATAAACAGGAAGTTGACATCAGATTTGTATAAAAATGAAGAATCCCAACATATGGCATGCCTAAACAAAGATTGTGTTAAAATTTCAAGCACCTGCGATGAGTAGTTGCTGAGAAAACTGCGACCAAAGTTTGTTATGTATGGTACGGAAAGATGCATGGATAAACAGGTACATGTAGTTGACATCGGATTTGTACAAAAATGAATCCCACAATATGGCATGCCGAAACAGAGGTTGTGCTAAAATTTCAAGCATCTGCGATGAGTAGTTGCTGAGAAAACTGCAACCATAATTTGTTATGTATGGTACGGACAGACACACGGATAAACAGGAAGTTGACATCGGATTTGTACAAAAATGATGAATCCCAAAATATGGCATGCCTAAACAAAGATTGTGTTCAAAATTTCAAGCACCTGCAATGAGTAGTTTCTGAAAAAACTGCGAACAAAGTCTGTTATGTGTGGTATAGACAGACGCATGGATTAACAGGAAGTTGACATCGAATTAGTACAAAAATGAATCCCACTATATGGCATGCCTAAACAAAGATTGTGCTAAAATTTCAAGCATCTGCGATGAGTAGTTGCTGAGAAAACTACGACCAAAATTTGTTCTGTATGGTATGGACAGACGCACAGATAAACAGGAAGTTGACGTCGGATTCGTACCAAAAATGAATCCCACCACATGGCATGCCTAAACAAAGATTGTGCTAAAATTTCAAGCATCTGCAATGAGTAGTTGCTGAGAAAACTTCGACCAAAATTTGTTACGGACAGACAGACACACAGACAGCTAGATAGACAGACAGACAGACACACAAGGGTAAAACAGTATACCCCCCACTCCTTCGGAGCGGGGGTATAAAAAAAAAAAAAAACATACTCATGACTGGTTTTCTTAATTTTTCATTGAAAATGACAGTTTAAATATGATTTTTCGTCCTGTTAACCAACAAATTATGCCCTGATACACCTAATTTGACCAAGCTGTAGTTATAAAGTATCAGTAGAGGAATTATATTTCTCAGATTTGAGAAATCTGTGGGTTCCTTTCATTTACAAGATCTTGACCTCAAGTATATCTCACTTTACTTGGAATGTTTTGAAAGTCTTTAGCTGTGAATTAAGGCTATAAACTCACTAGTTACTTCCTCAGGACAGATATCCACACAAGTTCCCGAGGTGTTATGTTTGACAGGTGGTATGTTTCTACTGTCCACTGCCTCCTCTGTAGTGACTGCCTGACCATCACTCTCCTCCCCTGGGAAAACATCCTTAGGGACCTTGTCATCACCCTCCTCTGGGGTTAAGTTCTCTGGGGCATCAGAAGTGTGCTCTGCCAGCTCCCCCTCCTCAATGTGTTCTATCTCTGATGATGTGTTGACATCTTCTTCACTCTCCAACTCAGCATCAAGTGCACCACCTATTTATCATAAAAAAAATTTAAGTTTACATAAAGCTGCAATATCATCAACATTTTGAAAATACTGTTGATTAGTTCATCAAATCAAGTTTTTGAATACAGTAACTACAAGTTCAGGGCTCGACATTAATGCTTGTCCACTTGTCCCGTACCAGTGAAAAAAAATACGGACAAGTGAATATTGCTGGGCACTTGTCCGATTGGTGGTGAACTGGTCAGTAACTTGGTATATGGGCAATACATTTTCAAAATGTTAATCTATTCCTTGATGTCATACCTAATGCCCTGGATATTTTGGAAGAAACGGAAGAAATCCAACCCCTGATCATGGTAACAAGGGATTTGAAAGCCTGAAATAAAACAAAGGTACAGTGTATATTTATAATAACATCATACATTCAGACAATATTTCAAATCTTACAGCATGTACAGTAGTCTGCAAGAAATGCAAAAAAATTAAATAGCAATCAGGATATGCAGTTCATCAATTATATAGTTTCAGATAGATAAGCAAGAGGCAAGTTTTTATCCCATTTTATTAGTCCCCTACCGGTGAAACTGGAGGGGACTATAGGTTTCCTCAGAGTCTGTCCGTCCGTCTGTCTGTCCCTCTGTCTGTCTGTCAGTCTGTCCCACTTGGTTTTCCACATTTTTTTCCTAAACGCTTGCAGATATTGAGCTGATTTTTGGTATGTGAGTGTATCTTGATGAGTTACAGAACAAGTTTGAATTTCGTTCAGCTTCATTGATTTTTGACGGAATTACGGCCTTTTCAATTTTTAAGGGTTTTCCGCAATTTTCTTCTAAACGCTTGTAGGTATTGAACTGATTTTTGGTATGTGGCTTTACCTTGATTACTTATAGATCAAGTTTGCATTTCGTCCCGCTTCATTAATTTTTGACGGAATTATGGCATTTTCAATTCTTAACGAGAACCAGATTACACTTGCCGGTAGGGGACTAGTTTTTGTTGAATTTATACACCCAACAAACTATATCAGTATACATTGGGTCTACAGAACATTCAGGGTTGGATATTACATACCTCACTGAACAGCTCTCTATTTAAGGAAGCTCTAAACACTAACAAAAAGTGCTTTTTGGACTAGGAGAAAAATATATCAGATAAATGTGTGCATATTGAGTCTATTTAATTCATTTTCAATGTAGGGTACCTGCCTTACTTCTGCAGTAAGAATGTTCAAAGACAATGGACTATTCGTGAGCAGAAATCACTGTTGTTTTCTGACATTGGGAAAATTAATTAATGGAAATAATGAATTCAGTTACTTATTCTTGGTCTAATATAATGCTAAGAATATTTTAACCTATTACAAATTGTGTTATTAACTGTAAATCATTAAATCTTACTTCTAAGGGCAGATCACTCTAATTGCATAAAACTATCCTATAAGTAGAAATCTTTAGTGTGCAGTGTTTAGAGCTTCCTTAAGAACCATACAATGATTTGATAGACTGTTTATTTAAACATCATGTAGTTGAAACATTTAGAAAAAAAAAACTTCATCAACGAGTACTACTCGGAGTAGTAATCAGATGGAGAATAACTCAGAATAGCATACCATGCATACAACGTCATTTATTGTTGCTGTTGTGTGTGTATTTTTAATCTCTTCAACAATTAAAGTACCATATTTTCAAAAATAAACTCTAATTATCAGTCAAGAAGCATGCATAAATTGCAACAATAAGGAGCAATACTCAGTGTTTTACCTCAAACGATTTTCCCCGTGAAAACAATGTCGCAATTTGCCGCCAAATGTCTGACAGCACCGATTCGAAAAGCGCAAATACTTCTTCGGATAATTTTGAAATAGGGATTTGCTTGAACATTATAGATATATATTACTTTTAATTTGACATGGTATGATTTACTAAAGAAAGTATAGTACACTGAAAAATGAATGTACGAAGCTAACTTTCTTTAAAATCGGTAAGATTTAATCGTTTAACCTTTGTTAAAAAATGTTAATTTTGACATTTACCCTATGTAAAATAAAGAATTACAAACGCAGCTTGCGTACAGTTTCTAGTTGAAGTAAAAATCTTGGAATTTAACCTTTTTATATTTGAAATAAAGAAATATATCTCTAAGAATATAAATAATATTTGAACATTTGTTGAACGCTATTAGATTTTGTTACAGAACTAGTCAATTTACGTTACATTCGTACGAGTTGTTTAATGACGAACGTAACCTTTGACCCTGAAGTTTACGTTTGTCAGGGAGCTCACGCCACTCATTTAGCAATATCAGGCGAGAAACATGATTTTGTAGAACTGGGTTCTTGTGGCAGGTAGGTGTAAGCCAACATGTGTTATACATGTCATTGTGATGTAAAATGATCTGTCCTGGTGAATGAATCTAAAACTTGATGTGTAAGAATTGTCGACATTTGGCAGTGGAGTGGATAACGTTATATGTTTGGAGTCGGCAATTTTATCAATAAATGAAAATAAATTGGAAACGGGTATGAATCCTACCAGTGAGCTTCGCTACGCTTTGCGAAGCTTACTGATAAGATTTATGCCTATTTCCCATTTATTTTCACGTTAATGATAAAATTGCCGACTCCTCTGTGGTCTCATGAACAGAGACTGACAGAGTGGATTCACATTGTTTCAGGTTTCAGCAGGTATATCATTGTTTGAAACTCACCGTAAAATAAGCTAGGCATGCAGGGCTGATTACTAGTAAAAGTTGTCAGTCCTGCCAAAATTTGAGTAGCCCGAGAAAATATTTGTCTTTAATAAATTCATTTTAGCACTAATTTGAATGGGGCCAGATCACCAGATCATCTTCGATCCTGAACTTATAAGCTGACAAATTCTACCAGTTTGCTTGTAACACTTTACTGCCGATAGATACTATTATAGTTGAGTTTAGAGGGATTCATTAAATATTTATATATGGAAAATTTTTACACATCTAGCAGGGCGAAATCTGTTTGCCCGCGACAAAATTTGTGTGTCGATCTTGGGCGGTCGGGCGCATGTTTATTTCAAACACTGAGGTATATGTGTGATAAAGATATTTTTTAATCATGTATTTTGCACAGACAGACAGACATGATGCAACAAAAATCCAATAAAACTTGCAGTTACTGGTACAATGAATTACTTCGTAGATATCAATCTTTTCGTGAACAATTCCTATTTTGTTCATGTATCATTATCAGTCAAGGGTGAGACTGAAACTGTCATGTTTACCAACTACATAATTTCATCATTTTTGTCAGTATGACTTTCTGTCATCATATTTATGTTCCCCAAACGAAGTTTGGGAACATATTGTTTTTACTCTGTTTCTTATTATTATTATTATTATTCTTTTTTTTTACTTTCTTCTCCGGTACTTTTTTGTCCAGGAGTGTTCTCATAGAACCACTCATCCGATTGACATGAAACCTTTTTAGGGTTAATAGGCATGTTGTGTAGGTGTTCGGAACGAAGGTCATTTTGCGCACACATGCATGCACGTGCGCGCGCGTGCAATGAGTGAAATGACAGATATACTTGATGAAGCCGTTACTTTTATATTTCTTGATGAATTGCTTTGAAACTCAAAATATAAAGATATATTAGAAGTCTAGACAAGATAACATGGTCAAATTAGCGTGAACTCACGCGCATGCACGTGCGCTCTTCTCTGATTGGCTGATACAAAAATCTCAATAATTTCCTTGTTTTTTGACACAATACTTTGAAATTTAGAATATAAGTATATATTATTAGGTGCTACAACATATTATATAGGAAATTTCTTGAAAACACGCGCATGCAGGTGTGCTGCAATCTGATGGGTTGAAACTTTAAATGTCTATAACTCGCTTGGTTTTCAACAAAACAGGATGAAATTTACGACATGGATAGGCACATAGAGCTCCTCCATTATGATACTATCAAAATTGAATGCAAGGCCATGCATGCGCGTATGCTGAATTCTGATTGGCTAATACTTAAAGGGTTACATCTCTCTTATTTTTCAAAGAGATTCTTTAATATTTAACACAAATGTATGTATTGTGAGGCACTATAAGAAATTTAATGTGAAAAATGTAGAAAACATGTGCAAGCAAATGTGCTCAAATTTGATTGGCTAATACCCATATGGCTTATTGGAGTAGTTTTCCAATGAAATACCCTTAAAAATAAAGTATCCATCTATATTACAAAAGTATTGTCTAATTTATTGAAGCTTGTAGGGAATGGGGCATCATAAGGGATTGGGGAGCCGTTTGGGGAACATCTGTAACGGTTCCCGTTACAATAAGCACTAGTTTCATTTTCAACTTGATTTTTCTATCCTGGTTATATAAAAGCGAATTTTCAATTTACTGCTGAAAGAAGAGTGTTTATGCGAATTTCATTTCATCTGGGTCATCACATGCATTAGAACATCAACACAGAAGGTGAAAGTTATTATTTAAGTGGTAAAATGTCGAATTTTAGTAGAACTAATTTGCCGTATTTACATCGCTTTTAGCCCTATAAAAATGTATACAGGTAACTCTTGATGGCTCGAACTTCGATCTCTTGAAGTTCTTGATCGCTCGAAGTGAGTCTGCGGTCCCGAATTTTTCCGCTATATAACTAAGCAATTTTACTCTTAATTTCTCGAACTCTTGATCTCTCGAAACCCTTGATCCCTCGAAGTCAAAATGCAGTCCCGCTATGCATATTCTATTAGAATTTACCCTCGATACCTCGAAGTGGCTATGTGTATACAAGGTTATATAATTAGCACCTTTACCTGGACATTTAAATGGCCCAAGGCAGAAGATGCGGGTCTCGAGGAACGGGATGTTTATTCAGGTGACACTTATGCTGCAAGGTGATAATTGATTTATAATTAATCATATTTTGCCTATTTGCTATTAAAATGATTATCATCGACTGTCTTACGATAAGTTAGAGACGCAGTGTCAGTGAAAAGTAGTAATTGATTATAAGACGAAACACTAAATTAAATTTAATTTTCATTTCGAGTCAGTGTCAAAGTTAAACGAAATATAAAAAAGCAGAAACAGCCTCAATGTCAATACGACGACTATTATTGGACAAATACTTACAGAACTGCGTTCAATGATCATGTTTGGAATAGTTTATGCTATGTACGACGCTGTAAAATATCGTTTTCATGTACATGTAACGAACACTGACGAATGCGTAGTATGATGTCCGTATTACAAAGATTAAATAAATATACATGAAATGACGATATACATTGTTGCCTTACTCAGTTTAATGAAATATTCATCTAAATTACGAAAAAATATCCTTGTTTTATAAAAACCACGTGTAAAAGGTTAGCACTGCATGAAAATCAATACATCCGGTAAGACTAATTTTAAAACTTGTCAACAAACCCGGAAAATTCCGGACTCTTGAAAACTCGAACTCTTGATCTCTCGAAGTTTTTCCTCGGTCCCGCGGACTTCGAGGTATCGAGAGTTACCTGTAGTTCACGATCTGGAAGAATACGTACTTGTAGGGAAAAGTCGTGACAAAAAGTTAAAACCATAAAGAGTAGTTTGCCCCATAAAACAAGCAAAAGATATTTCAGTGTGCCCAGACCCTCCATTTTGGTAAAAAGACGAAATATTGATCGTCATTTTCATCTTCTTTGCTATGAGTTTTAGTCGTAATAAAAAATTTTATTTTATGACTAGTAATTGTCAATTTCAGACATACGGATTTCAGTCTCACCCCCTGACTGATTATAATTACATATCACATCTCACTTTCCAGGGGAAGGGCTGGTAACAATTATCCAAGGATTTTTTGTGGGTTTGTATGTGGCTTTAAAAAATTCAGAGCAAAATAAAAACTGTGAAAATCTCATTGAAGGTTGTTTTCTAATTTAAATTGGATGTTAGTCTGGAAGTGCAATGGTAAGAGTTCCCCACTCTTAGTCTCATAGCAGTTTGAGGGTTTGAGTTTCAGTCTGACTGAACACATTACCCCATTAGTTAAGTTGAATGAATGATTATATTATACAAAATTGTTGTTATTGTTGTGTTTATCATCTATAGCTGTTTGCCTGCTTATATGCAAAACTTTCTTTTTCATATGCCAGCAGTGAAGGGCTACATAGCTGTTACTGTTATGACCTAGCTCAGTGTTTTCCGTTTGGGTTAGAGATCAAATTAAAACAGGCTATGGGTAGAAGTTTAAGAGAAATCTTTGTAGACCTTACAAGAATTAAATTCTGATTTTTTTTATTTCAAATCAGCATTTTTATCAATTGCAATCATTTTGGCCAGAAGCCGGTTCTTAGGGAGAAGACTGCTATTGTCTTGAACAATAAGCTAGGCCTTTGATACGTAAGGAAAGCTAGCCTAAAATATTTTATCTTAACTCCTAAAAAAAGGCAATTCAGTATATAATCCACACTGTACATGCTGTATGGTGTAATTTTATGACTGTGCTGAATAATTATAAACAAATTTTGTCCACTGAAACAAAAAATATTTGTACATATGTTGTATTTATAAGCCATAAAAATGTGCAAGTCTATCAGTGTAATGAAAATGTCTATTTACATTAGAGTTCAAGGATGATCATTGTGTGTTAAGATAGTGAAGATGTGTAAGCCAGTCTGGCTTTGTATGGTAGTGATAGAATAATATGTGTCGATCATGACATATATAATTTTCCACCAAGTTCATCTGAAAAAAAATTGCACAGGTCACTGACTTTGTCATGCGATAATTTTCCTCCAAATTTCACCTTAAAAAAAAAACAACATTGCCACAAGTCTTTAAAATCAGTGAGGCTACAGAGATAGTTACTGTACACTGTGTTTTGATTATATACTTTGAAGCTCTCTAGGTTCATCATGTTCATAACATGCATAAGCTAATACTTAATTATTTTAACTGGATTAATAGGTTAGTCTATCCTTATTCACAGATTCTACTATACCTGTACCGTTTTTAGCTCACCTCGACGAAGTCGAGATGAGCTTATGCTATACCCCCGGCGTCGGCGTCGGTGTCGGCGTCGGCGTCGGCGTTAGCGTCGGCGTCCCAGGTTAAAGTTTTAGGAGCAAGTCCCATTCCCAAGTAACTATAAGCCCTACCTGGACCAAACTTGCATGGATGATGCATCTAGGGATGGACACTACCAAACTTGCTTCGGATGCTGGATCTGACCTAGATTTTCCAGATGAGTGACCAGGTTAAAGTTTTAGGAACAGGTCCATTCCTTAGTAACTATAAGCCCTACCTGGATCAAACTTGCATTGATGATGCATCTAGGGATGGACACTACCACACTTGCTTCGGATGCTGGATCTGACCTAGATTATCCGGATGAGTGACCAGGTTAAAGTTTTAGGAGCAGGTCCATTCCCAAGTAACTATAAGCCCTACCTTGACCAAACTTGCATGGATGATGCATCTAGGGATGGACACTACCAAACTTGCTTCGGATGCTGGATCTGACCTAGATTTTCCAGATGAGTGACCAGGTTAAAGTTTTAGGAGCAGGTCCATTCCCAAGTAACTATAAGCCCTACCTTGACCAAACTTGCATGGATGATGCATCTAGGGATGGACATGGCCACACTTACTTCGGATGCTGGATCTGACCTAGATTTTCCAGATGAGTGACCAGGTTAAAGTTTTAGGAGCAGGTCCATTCCCAAGTAACTATAAGCCCTACCTTGACCAAACTTGCATGGATGATGCATCTAGGGATGAACACTACCAAACTTGCTTCGGATGCTGGATCTGACCTATATTTTCCAGATGAGTGACCAGGTTAAAGTTTTAGGAGCAGGTCCATTCCCAAGTTACTATAAACCCTACCCGGACCAAACTTGCATGGATGATGCATCCAGGGATGGACACTACCACACTTGTTCAGATGCTGGATCTGATCTAGATTTTCCACATGTGAGACCAGGTTTAGATTTAGGAGTAGTCTCATTCCCAAGTAACTATAAGCCCTACCTGGACCAACCTTTCATGGATGATGCATCTAGGGATGTACACTAACCAACCTGCTTCGAATGCTGGATCTGACCTAGATTTTCCACATGAGTGAATTTTAGCCATATTTTAACCAAATTAGCATGGATGATGTATCTAGGGATGGACACTTCCAGACTTGCCTTGGATTCTGAATCTGATGTACATTTTCCAGAAGAGTGACCAGGGTAATTTTTTTGGAGTAGCTATATAAAATTATGGCCTGTTATGATTAAACTTGCATAGATGGTGCATCTAAGGATGAAAACTTCCAGACTTGCTTTGGATGTTGGAACTGACCAAAATTTTCTTGATTACTAAACAGGTCAAAAGTTTTTTGAGCAGGTCTATAATTAAATCAAACTTGCATGGATATTGATCTTGGGATGTACCCTAACTAGAAAAAAAATATGATGTGAAATTTGCCTTACATGTAGATAACATTCGTCGAGGTGAGCTTCGTAATCTTTGATTACCTATGTTTACATCCTGATTTTGGCAGTGTTTCTTTCGCACTGAATAATTGCAAATTATCATGTCTATGATTGCAGTGTCTGCAAGTCCTTTCTAGCTCACCTGAGCCGAAGGCTCAAGTGAGCTTTTCTGATCGAAATTTGTCCATTGTCTGTCGTTGTCGTAAACTTTTCACATTTTCATCTTCTTCTCCAGAACTACTGGTCCAATTTCAACCAAACTTGGCACAAAGTATCCTTGGGTGAAGGGAATTCAAGTTTGTTCAAATGAACTCTCTCCTCAAGGGGAGATAATTATGAAATAGCAAAAAATTAATGGCATTATTGAAAAATCTTCTCCTCAAGAACCAATGGTCCAGGAAAGGTGAAACTCATGTATAATTATTGTCAGGTAGTGTAGATTCAAGTTTGTTCAAATCATGACCCCCAGGGGTAGGGTGGGGCCACAATGGACGATCAAAGTTTTACATAGGAATATATAGGAAAAATCTTCAAAAATCTTCTTCTCAAGGACAGCAAAGCTATGATTGGTCATATTTATGTGGAAGCATCCTCTGGTGGTGTAGATTCAAGCTTGTTTAAATCATGACCCCCAGGGGTAAGGTGGGGCCACAATGGACGATCAAAGTTTAACATAGGTGTATATAGGAAAAATCTTCTAAAGAACAGCAAAGCTATGATTGGTTATATTTATGTGGAAGCATCCTCAGGTGGTGTAGATTGAAGTTTGTTCAAATCATGACCCCCGGGGCTAGGGTGAGGCCACAATGAACAATCAAAGTTTTACATAGGAATATATAGGAAAAGTCTTTAAATATATTTTAAATTACAAGAACAGCAAAGCCACTGTTTGTCATATTCATATGGAAGCATCCTCAGATAGTGTAGATTCAAGTTTGTTCAAATCATGACCTCCAGGGGTAGGGTGGGGCCACAATGAAAGTTCAAACTTGTAGAGAAAAATGCCACAGTTAGTCCAAAAATTATGTAAGCATCATTAGTAAGTGTAGATTTAATTTTGTTCAAATCATACCCCCCACTCCCTTTTCGGGGTAGGTTGGGACCACTTATGCATTTAAGCTTTTCAATACTAAACTGATTTTTTTTTTCCTAGCCACAGTGCTCAGGTGAGCGATGTGGCCCCTGGGCCTCTTGTTCATCTTTTATTTGAAATTCATTTTTGAAAACCATGTCGTATTTACTGGATTCTCAAGTCCATAAACTGAAGTTTAGAGCTTATGTCCTACCCCAAGGTGTGACAATAGGATCTGCATGATTCACATCCCAGATTTCAAAAGTTTTTTGAGTAAATTGAATAAAACTCGTCCTCTAGACCAAACTTGCTGGCATGATGCATCTGGTCCACATCTGACCAATATTTTTCAGATGAATTGTCATATTAAAGTTTTTGGAATAAGTCCATTTCCATTTTTTGAGCAGGTTGATTTCCACTGAAGTGTAAATCTGTACTGTGATGATACATGTAGGGATACGAACTACCATAATGCTTTGGATGTTATATATCTGTATGAAGAGAATAGGAACATTTTGAACAAAATCCAAGGGGAGTGGAATTGTATTCCAGTGCCAGCATCATATAGTATATGAAAATTTGTTCCAAATGCATCTTTGTTAAAATATCAGTGGTTAATTTTGTTCAGAACCAAGGCTTTCATTTGTAGAAACACATTATCATGAGTAAAGACAAGAAAAATGGAGAGGTGAGCTTTTTGCTGGGGGACACTGAGGGAGAGGAGGATACTACGGATGCTGTGGATCCCCCTGAGGTACCTCACGAGGATCATCATGAAGAGAAAAAGGACAGCGTCCCCTCACTGATACACAGCTCCTCAAAAGAGGACACCACAGAACCAAAGCTCAAGTAAGTCATGCAGAATTAACAAAAAGTAACTATAAGATTTCTGCAAAATCTCAGTCTTTCTTTTAATTTGTACAGTTCGTATGATTTTGTTAAGGCTGCAATAATGAGAATGGCTGTGTATGTTTTTGTATCCTTTCATACCCATAAGAGTCATATTTTCAGCCCCCTCCACATCCTATATCCACCAAGTCTGTATTTTCTTTCTGTTAATTTATAATAGTTTTTTTTATATTGACATTCATCTTCGCTAGCCAAGGGTTTCTGATACGCTACTCTCCTCATAAGCCCCTTGGCATACAGTGTTAAAAAAAGTTGGGATTTTTTTCTCAAGTTGTGATTGGAGTTGATCGACATCGTTCGACCAATCAGCAATTGTTTTTTGTAAATGACGATATTTGCGTTCGGGATATATCTTGACTCTTTAATATCGGGAATGAAAAACGCAAGTAAACAACGATCCGTAAGATAACATGCCATTCTATGAATAGCTATATGGTGTCATCCAATATCTTAAGCTACATGCAAAATAAGTGATTAAGAATCAATACTGAAGATGTAGATTTGCATTTTAATATGTTTAACAAATCAACATAACTCAATACCTTAATTCTTGTTAATTATTCTAAAAAAACATTATCTATTTAAATATGCTTTTTATTTCTGTCGATGACGCAATCTGTGCGTACCTGTTTAGAATCGTGATCATGTGACGAAAACAATCCCGTCTTTTCTCAGCACCGTATGCCAAGGGTTTATGAGGAGAGTAGCGTATCAGAAACCTTTGGCTAGCGAAGATGATCGACATTGTATTAATGACATTTTCATTTCCATTCAGAACATTTTCTCCTCAAATTAGATTTTTTGATAATTCATTCTCTACCTCTCAGAAAAGTACTACCTCATTCTGAAATAAGAAATATTAGAATCTCCAAACCTGTGTTTTATTGATTATGTCAAAGAGAAGCACATTTTTGACAGTTTTGCTTTCACACACTCAACAAAACTGTATCCCCCTAGTTCAGGTATACTCTGTATAGCCTTCACCCGATCATCAAAAGCAAACATGCATCCACGTTTCGTAATATTAAAGGCCTTTTCAGTGATAAGAAGGCTAGATCATTTTTATCTGTCCTTAAACTTTTTACATGTCAAAGGGTATGTTAGATTATGTACATTTGTAAGAAGAGGTTATTTTCCAGCACTTAATATGTGTTTTGAAACTTAAAAGTTGATTTATATATATATTTTTAAAAGAATAGTGTGTCAAATATTTGGAGGTAAATCATTTGCCATGTCAATTACCAATAGAATTTTTATTTATTGCAGACTTTGATCCATCTTTTTAGAATTCAATTAAATGTTAAATATGTTAAGAATATTTTAGAATGCTCAAAGAATGTTCCTTTTGACATGATCTGTCTGATTTAGGTGTGTTCGACCAAGTTTCAGTGATGTTGTTCAAAGAACTTCATCTGTTGGTATTGAGCCCCTTCTGTAAGAAATTGTGTTGACAGTTCTTTAAATCATAATACTTGAGTTAATTATCATGTTTAGAATTGGAAAAAAGGAATATGTGTGTTTCCTATCTTTCTTAACTTTAATCTTTTTTGTTTGCAATGCTTTTAACTTAATTAAGATTTCAATTAATGGTTGATATCAAAATTTGCTCTATTCAGCTGCACCAAAATCTAACTGAGTTTTATACTGTTCTGAAAAAGTTTTATAAACATCTAAGATATTGCAGGACCCACAATTTGAACAGAATGCAGTTGGATTTCTTCAGTTTTTTGTCCAATTCAAGAAACACACTTGTTTCTTTAAAATTCATCATGTTAACAAATTAGTTAAACCAATATTTGATTAACATGAGTTTAAAAATTTAAAAATTAATATTGTATTCATGTTTTTATGACCCTCATCATTCAGAGTGGTGGCATTATTATATTTCATACAAAATGGTAAATCAAAGTCCTCAATAAGCCTGAAATTGTTCACAATGATTTTTTTTTTTTACATACAGTTGAACTTAACATACAGTAAACTTCAGTTGAACTTTACATACAATTGAATTTCAGTTGAACTTTACATATTACAGTTAAACTTCAGTATCCCAGACTTTGGTATCTCAAATACCATGGATATGTCGAAGAGAGTGGAATCTCAGCCACTTTTTCTTTATATATTCAACCCAATTTCCCGAAATCTCAGATAACGATCCTTCATTTTTTTCCCCTCAGCCCTATCAAATTCTAGATAATAATGTTTGGCTGTACAACCTTGAAACACCTCTGTACAAAAGCTTGCTCAAATTGTTTTGGATTGGTTAGGTACATGTACCATTGAGCCCACCTCAAAGCTTAATTATTTCCGCTTTCCTAATCAATTTTCATTAGAATTTTACTGTATAACATTTCTTACTTGTGCCCTTTAAAAGAGCATTGCAATGTATCAACAAAATAAATTCATTTTTAAAAAATTGATAAGACATAAATGTAATTCTCATTTAAAACATCTAATATTTGAATCACTAGGGCTGGGATGATATTCCAGTTGATGTATTCTGATACAAGGGTTTTATGATTCTCATATGGATACATGAGTACCATGGCCGTAGGAACTGGGGGGGGGATGGGGGGGGGCGTGCCCCTCCAATAATTTTGCCGATATATAGATTACTATAGTAAACATAGATAATGTGTGCTTGTGCCCCCTCAATGAAAACGTCTAATGACCTTTTTTTTTTTGCTTGTTAAGGAATTTTGGTAGTTGATCATGTTGATGTTTTTTTTTTTTTTTTTTTTTTTTGCTTGTCAGGAAATTTTTGGTAGTGCCCCCCTCAATGTCAACTGAAAAATGTATGGCTGTGCCCCCCCCAAACTGAAATTGCTTCCTACGGGCCTGAGTACCATGATCATCATGAAGTCATTAACCACTGTTAACAAGGGATCATTTTTGTTGTAAATTTACTCAACCCCATTTATAATTCTCTCACTCCTGCCAATTATTTTGAATGAACTAAATTAAAGTAAAGATTGGGGTGGGTGGGGTGGGTAGGTGTGTGTGTGTATAACCTTCACCCAATGTGATTCTGACAAGTTCAAGGTCACTGTCAGAAAAAGTATAAAATACTTTTCAAGTCTACTACAACTTTTTTATGGAGAAAACATTGGAAGTTCATACTTCGCACAAATTTGTTTATGACCTGAAGGTTTGCCTTGACCTTGAACCAAAATCATTTGATCAAGTTCAAGGTCATTTTAGAAAAATGTTTAATTCCTGTCCTGACTATATCTTGTAATGGAGAACATTTGAGGTTCATACGTCTCACTAATATTGCATATGATCAGAGGGCATGTATTGACCATGATCCAAGGTCATTCCAGCAAGTTCAAAGTTGCTGAGAAGAAAAGTATTTTATCTGTGTCCTGTCTGTAAGTCTTAAAAGGAGGCTAATTAGAAGTTGATAGCTGACACAAAGATTAATTGCTTTAGATTCAAGGTTGTATCATGATTAAACCAAAGGTCATTTTGGCAAGATCAAGGTCACTGGCAGAAAAAAAAAAAATTGTCTGATCTAAAACTTTCTAATGTATAAATACTGGAAATTCATACTTTACACAAATTTTACTTATGTCTTAAAGGTGTTTTTATGACCTGAACCAAAGGTCATTGTGGCAAGTGTAAAAATCATGTTAGTTCTATAATTTTTTAATTGAAAAACATTTGTTGTTCATATTTCACTCAAAGATTACTTATGACCAGAGGAGTTGTTTTTTTTTTTTAACCAAGGTCATTTTGGAAAGTTCAAGTTCACATTTACAAAATTGCAAATGGGCACTTACAGCAGGGGTATTATTTTGTGAGCTATACCATAGTTCCTCTAGTTTAAGTTGAATCCTGTACGTAAGATAAGTCTTTAATATATTCCATTGAGAGGCATAATTAACGCACTAATTCTCTAAATTTTAAAAGGTGATAGCATGTCATAATTTCTTTATATAGTATGCATTCTAGTCAATAATACTAAATAAATGTTGGTAAAGAAATAAAATAAATTTTAATGCAACAATTTAGCAAAACTACGTATTGTGATACAATACTGTAGATTCAAAAATACATACGAGAAATTAATTATCGTGTAATTTTATGAGAAGCACCACTTGTGAAATGAAATTACTCCCTCTTTTTATGGTGCTGAAATGCATGTAAAATCTCTAAATCAAACATCTTCTCACAAATTCTTGTTCTTGCGATTTGACGTCTAAGGGCCATTTCACGATAGAAAGTACTCGCGTAAAATAAGGAATCTACAGTGGTGTATCAGATATATTGAATGATAAACAAGCATTCTGAGAGTATTGCATTAGCAATACTAGTCCCCTACCGGCAAGTGTAATCTGGTTCCCATTAAAAATTGAAAATGCCATAAATTCCGTCAAAAATCAATGAAGCAGAATGAAATGCAAACTTGATCTGTAACTCATCAAGATACACTCATATACCAAAAATCAGATCAATATCTGCAAGCGTTTAGAAGAAAAGTGCGGAAAACCAAGTGGGACAGACTGACAGACAGACAGAGGGACAGACAGACAGACGGACAGACAGACAGACAGACGGACAGACGGACGGACAGACTCGGAGGAAACCTATAGTCCCCTCCGGTTTCACCGGTAGGGGACTAATAAAATGGTTGACCATATGACAAAATGTTTGACAAAATACCAATGATTAAAACATATCAAAATATGTTTTAAAATATAATTTTATATTAATTAAACACTTTTAATTAGGAATCTGCCCACCAACTTTTCCCATGGAAAACAGATTGGGCATAGGTAAAATTTTAACTTTGTGAAGTAAATGTGAGTATTTTGTGTCAAAGTATTTAATCAGGTCAAGCCATATTATCCATATATGTAGGAAACTAATGATTTCTTTGTAAATTCATTACTAACACAAATGTTTTGTCTTATTGTTAAAAACTTTAAATTATAAGTATTACATGTATTTGCTAATTGAAGAAAGGGGAGAAACTTTTAGGAGGCATCTCTACCTTGAATGGAAAAAAAGTACTTGTATCTTGTAAAATGTTAAATAAGTGGAATTTTGTATGCATTAAAATGGTAAAAAGAGCTTTATCGAGTCTAAAAATAGTTGAATGAAGATAAATTTGGGGTGGGGTGGGGTTTAGGGGTTTGGAAGGAGCAGAGGGCCTATTAATTTTTTTTTTGAAGATTAGTAATACAAGGTGCGAGAATTAATCTCTATGATATAGACTTTTAAAATCCAACAAAGTGTAAATTGCTTTTTATATGTAAGAGCTTCATTTTCAATTTTTTTTCTAGTATTTTATTATGATTGTATGGTGGATGCAGAGTATTATCGGTTGCTTGTATATAATATACTGTTGCCATACGAAAATAAAGTTTTAAGAATGATAAGTAATTTATGGTATCTATACAGTGTTGTAGTCTCTATAACTTTGATAAAAACATGTGATTTTGATTCTAAAATCAAGTCATTTTCTTCTTATACATGGCTTACTCATACATTAAATAGATATAATCCATCAACATTATAAAACACGATAAATGCATACACTGTAGTTTTATTTAAATACATGTATAACTTACAGAAGAAGTTTAAAGAAGTTTTTTTTTTTTTTTTTTTTTGTAGCAAATCATGTAGAGCTTTTCTCATAATGCATGCATCTATGAAATGCAAAAAAATAACCTTGCTTAGAATTTTTCCCCCCTAATTTTGTAGAATTTTAACTAAGGAGTAATGTTTATTTATAATTATATTATTATGAATTTGAATTCTTATAATTTATAATACTGTTGCAAAAAATTTAATACATGTATAAATATTTGTTTTTGGGTTGAAATTATTAAATTGGGTAACATATATATCTACACAGGTTTACATACCAAGATAAAAGGTATGAAATAAAAGTTTTGGTGTATATATAGATCATGAATTTCATTCTTGTATTCACCTGCTTTTAAAATCACTTAAACAATTCAGTTATAAATACCTTATGCATAAATTTTTGTTTGCTTGCATCAAATACTGAAAAAAAAAAAAAAAATTAGGCATGAGTAATTTGGACTGCATTGTACTTTTTTTTTTAATATGAAACAATAAAAAAAAAAAAAAAAAAAAAAAAAAAAATTTGAAAACAATTCCTTATACCAAAAATTTTTAATCTACAGGTTTCTAGATTTTCATCTGATACCTGCTAAGTATGATTCTTTTAAAACTTTTAAGTAGTATGATATCAACCATTTCTATAATATCTTTAAACTGCATAGTAAAAACTAAGTTTGCTTGTTTTCAACAATATAAAAAAAAAGCTGATAAAAGCCAATGATTACTACATAGACTGCTAACATAATATGCTTTTTAGATAATCAGTTTTTGTAGAATTGGCTTCACTGTGTGAATGAAATTTTCACTTGGGTAGCATTGGGGAGGGGAGGGGGTGGGGTGGGGAGTGGCATGGGATGTGGTAATGGTTTGATTTGTCTGTCCACAATTTTAACCTTGAATTTAAAGTTTTTAACTATCTATGAAAAAGAGAGACTGTATTTGGTGGAAGTCAATGCTTTATTAGAGGTTTAGGGGTAAACTGGAGAAAGGGTTCTAAGATCAGGAAGAAATTTTACATCACTGGAATTAACCATTGTTTGTGTTGTGTTATAAACAGTATTAACTAGATTGATGCTTAATTAGCTGCTGTATATATATATTTTTTTTTTACATAAATTTGGAATTAACAAAGTAATTAAAAGTATTTATTGTTATATAGTTTCTTCATGATTAATTTGAGCTTCTGAAAACTGAATATTTTAATTTGTTAAAATTTGATTTAATTAATTCAATAAATTTTTAATAAAATTTAGTTTGTTCAGAGTAGCTTATTATGAGCATAAATATTATAAAACATAGAAGTGATCCAATATTTAACAATTTGATGCCCTGGAAAAGTAACTATGTATCAATGGCCAGCCATTAGAAAGAGGAAATTTTAAGCAAACTACTTAAATTATACATTAAGTCAAAATAGAATGCATTCATGTAAAAATTTAAACCAGGTGGCTTATAAAATTCATGTATGTTCTATTCTTACAAGACAATCACGATAAAATACATTATTAATGTAAAACAATTTTATGAACATTTTTTAATATTTCCTTATGGTTCCTTATGGATAGGATTCCCAGAAAAAATGCTGATTTGTTTTATAAAAAATGCTTCAAAAATTATGTAAAAAAATGCATGGTTAATGATAATAGTTACTTCTAGTTTGTTTGATATACTAAATACATACTGTTCATTTGTGCAAGTTTTTTCTGTTACAGTAACTAAAACAGTATTTTTTCGTCACATTTTTAGCATGGTTGAAGTGCATGGTTTGAGTGCATGCTTTATGAATTATATATTTTGTTTATAGTCAGAGTCTTTCAAGCAAACTTTTTTCTTTTCTATTTATAAAGGGTTTATTTAACTTTTAAAAGATTTATTTATATGTATGATTATTAAAAACTATTAACAAGTAGGTAATTGGTGGTTAAAAAAATATGCTGAGGTAACAATATTTAATATTGAAAATAAATAAAACAATGTACATCTATATTTGTAGGCATTCTATGTCAGGGGCCAGTAATCTTGATAGCAGGGGGAGGCGACTTAGCTACCACCCCAAGGACTTCTCTGTAGCCACCCCCGAGGAATTTGTCAAGAGGTTCGGAGGAAATAAAGTCATCAACAAAGTAAGCCTAGGTTCTGTAAAATGGAAAGCTGATGTAAAGTTACACGATTTGTCAAGAATGTTACATATACATGTATGGTACGATCTGTACTCATTCATTATAAGACCACATTGTATAAGGTACAGGCCCAGGAGCTGTTTGCCTCTGAGTAAAAAGTGGTTCTCTGTTATTTGCTACTGAAGGATAGGATAGAGAACAAAGATTTTGTCATACTGTGTAAACTGTAGATCAAATATTGACACTTTATTTTAGCCAGGTAGTCATTTACTTTTTATAAATTTTCACAAATTTTTTTTTTTGCTCTATATTAAAATGTTTAAGAATACAAATACATGTATGTTTATGCAAGAATAAAATTTTAGTGAGCAGACTGTCTTGCGATAAATGGATAATTACTTCATGGCTGTGTTTATGGTCAGTAAAAAGGATAAACAGTTAAATCTTAGTATCTTGAATTAAAAAGGACTGACCAAAAAAAAAAAAAAAAAAAAAAAAAAAAAAAAAAAAAAAAACTTAGAGATACTGGGATGAACAAGTATTCAAGATAACATTGAACTATAGTTTGAGACTGTGAATCCTATTCCACTTATTGTTTAAATAAAACAACTGTTTTAAGACTGTGTCAGAATATTGTTGCATAGGGAGAAAAGCTTTTTTGATAATAATTTTTTTTTCTGAATAATGTAGGTGCTGATAGCTAACAATGGAATCGCGGCTGTTAAGTGTATGCGGTCAGTCAGAAGATGGGCCTATGAGATGTTCAGGAATGAGCGAGCCATTAGATTTGTTGTCATGGTTACACCAGAGGATCTCAAAGCTAATGCAGGTCTGTTTTGCAAACATACAGTCTATAGCCATCACAATTTTTTCTCACCTTCATGAACTTAATGAAAAAAAAAAACACCACTATACTTACAGCAATTGAGAATAATTTATTTAATGTATATTTCAATACAAACATGATAAAAATAATTATTTGATTGTCAAAACTATTTCAAAAGTTACTTTCATATGAAATTTTCACACAATTTTGTTCTCAGTTTATTGACTTGAGGCCAGGTCATAGGAGACTAGTTTCAGAATACATGTATTCTTTTTCAAGTTTGAACTTTAAAGGAATTTTTTGGTGAAATTTTCATCTGTTGACTTCAGAATACATCCGATTAGCGGACCAGTATGTCCCAGTACAGGGGGGTACAAACAACAATAATTATGCCAATGTAGAACTTATACTGGATATAGCCAAGAGGACTCAAGTACAGGTAATATTATAACCTAGCCAATGTAGAACTTATCCTGGATATAGCCAAGAGGACTCAAGTACAGGTAATATTATAACCTATCCAATGTAGAACTTATACTGGATATAGCCAAGAGGACTCAAGTACAGGTAATATTATAACCTATCCAATGTAGAAATACTGGATATAGCCAAGAGGACTCAAGTACAGGTAATATTATAACCTAGCCAATGTAGAACTTATACTGGATACAGCCAAGAGGACTCAAGTACAGGCAATATTATAACCTAGCCAATGTAGAAATACTGGATATAGCCAAGAGGACTCAAGTGCAGGTAATATTATAACCTAGCCAATGTAGAACTTGTACTGGATATAGCCAAGAGGACTCAAGTACAGGTAATATTATAACCTAGCCTATGTAGAACTTATCCTGGATATAGCCAAGAGGACTCAAGTACAGGTAATATTATAACCTAGCCAATGTAGAACTTATCCTGGATATAGCCAAGAGGACTCAAGTACAGGTAATATTATAACCTAGCCAATGTAGAAATACTGGATATAGCCAAGAGGACACAAGTACAGGTAATATTATAACCTAGCCAATGTAGAACTTATCCTGGATATAGCCAAGAGGACACAAGTACAGGTAATATTATAACCTAGCCTATGTAGAACTTATCCTGGATATAGCCAAGAGGACTCAAGTACAGGTAATATTATAACCTAGCCAATGTAGAAATACTGGATATAGCCAAGAGGACTCAAGTACAGGTAATATTTTTACCTAGTTTGTGATTAGGTCACATTTAAGAGATTCTTATTTATAAGGTGCATGTATTAAGTATGTATAAATACATTGTGGTTCATGAATGTAGATGGCTTTGTCCTGACTTGTTTTGTTGAATATCTGTAAAATTAGAATCAGAAAATAATGAATTTGAAATGTTTAATGTAACTTAAGCATAAATATTACATGTAGTGTGTTCCCCACCCCAGTAATGAATTGTTAAGACATTAAAACTAATCAGATTGTTGATTATTGGTGTTTTGCTTTTAAAATAAGATGACTCAAAGCATACATGTAAAATTGAGCTTGTTTGTTTTACAGGCTGTTTGGGCTGGCTGGGGCCATGCCTCTGAGAATCCCAAGTTACCAGAACTTCTCCATAAAAATGGAATAATATTTATTGGTAAGTTGATAAATTTAAAGAGACACTATTGTCAGATATCAAAGTTTGTATCATGTATTTTTGTGGGAAATAATGTATTTTGTAAAGAATAAATTTTTTATTAACATATAAAATCATATTTGTATGGTGCATCATCTTTGCTTAACTTATTTCACATAAGGTGTAAAGTCTGTACTTGTTTTTTTTCCAACAGGTCCACCAGAGGGAGCAATGTGGGCCCTGGGAGACAAGATTGCCTCCTCTATTGTAGCCCAGACTGCTAAAGTCCCAACTATGCCATGGAGTGGATCAGGTACATTATACCATAGCTCAATATTCACTAATGATTTTAAATAATCATTAAAGTGATAACATTTTCAAAGACAGTATTATAAAAAAAATTAGGAATATTGAAATATTTGAAATATCAATAAAATCACTGACAGTAATTTTAGTTGTTGTCATGGTTTGAAGAGACCCATGAATTCATGTCATTCATGAAATGTTAAAATTTAAAGCAATAGTATGATCATGTTCATCTCTTCAACCACAAAACCAAATCCCCATGAACCAGTCTTTCTTCCTCAAACCACGAAAATTTCAACCCCCCCCCCCCCCCCCCACCACAAAAATAACTTTAGAACTTTTTTTGCCAGGCCTGACCCTGAACTACTCCAAGAGTGACAACAAGCCTGTGAATGTGCCCACAGACCTTTACAGGAAGGGGTGTGTCGTGGATGTAGATGAGGGTCTGAAGTCAGCCAACAAGATCGGGTTCCCCGTGATGATCAAAGCCTCAGAGGGAGGGGGAGGGAAAGGGATCAGGAAGGCAGAAAACGCTGACGACTTCCCCAATCTCTTCAGACAGGTATGAAATAGAAAAAAAAATATTGTCATGAAATGTAAGTAGATAAAAAACGGTGAGAAATTTTTATAATTGTGAGTAAAGGTTACATAGAGGTATTTAACATATTTGATTTTCAAAATGGAATTTTGACATTATTAACATATAACAGTTACTGTAAACCAACAATTATTCGCGTCATCTTTTATTCGTGATTTGGCAGTTTGAAATCAATCTGTGAAAATTAGTTTTGGTGATCTAAGAAACATTTTCTACAAATACGGAGCAAAATAATTGGTTCGTGGTGATAAATATTTGCGAGTTAAAGAGGGTCGCGAAACTCGCAGATATTTATCGCACCTGAATAATGGTTGGTATACAGTATCAAATTTGATTCATAGCTCTTATTAGAAAATTCTTCGATAATGATGGCTCTTAAAGAAAAATCTGTGTTCTATATATATAGGTACAGGCTGAGGTCCCGGGGTCTCCTATCTTTATTATGAAGCTGGCCACACATGCCCGACACTTGGAGGTCCAGATCCTGGCTGATAACTATGGTAATGCCATCTCCCTGTTCGGGAGGGACTGCTCCATCCAGAGGAGACATCAGAAGATCATTGAAGAGGCACCGGCCTCCATTGCCAAACCAGAGGTGTTTGAAAAGATGGAACAGGTAATCAGAATTTCGGGGTAATTGTTGTAAAAAGAATCTTTTTTTCTCATCTTTCTCTTAATACTACCTTTGTAAAGTCTTCTCAGACTTTGTTCACCAGAAACAATGTTAAACATTTTTATGTAAACAATGAAAATTGAATTGTTTAGTCTATTATACAATGCTCTGTAGTTGAATGTAATGTTGTACCTTTATTTCCTATGATTTTAATTCAAAATCGTTATATCTTTATTTTATGTGACTAATTAAATAGGATTTAAATACTGACACCTACCTCAAAGCAGAAATCTCTTCTTTCTGTTTTAAACCTCACCTTGACTCACTTTGAAAGTCAAAATCATCCAAAAAATTTTGTATTAGTCATAAAAAGTTCAAATTATAGCTACAATGTATTAATTTATTATTATAATTCTCTCCAGGCTGCGGTGACACTAGCTAAGATGGTGAGATATGTCAGTGCTGGTACGGTGGAGTATCTGTATAACGAGGAGACGGAGACCTTCCACTTCCTGGAGCTTAATCCACGTCTACAGGTGGAACATCCGTGTACAGAAATGGTGGCAGACATCAACCTCCCAGCCGCTCAGTTACAGGTAAAAGAAGAATGTAGAACAACAAAATTGTCTTGGATATTCAAATTTTTGCAGCTGTAGCAGATGCAAGGGTTTATAAAGATTAGAAAATAGATTTCCTTTGAAAATTCATCTATTGAATTATTGTCTTGAGGCAAATTGTCTCTCCAAAAAAAAATAAAAAAAAAATATGTGTACATGTATAGCTGCATGTTTGTTTCATTTAAATTTAAAATTGATTGTTCACTTTAATTTTAGAATTGAGACTGTAGTATTTTTTTCCCAGATATTTATTGGGGAGGAAGAAAATATTGTATGCAACTTGTGCACAAATATAGTTACATACAGTATTTGTATGTTGAATATTCCATCTTTTACAGATTGCAATGGGTTTGCCCCTGTACCGATTGAAGGACATCAGACAGTTATATGAGGTGGATACTTGGGGGGACAGCCCTATTGACTTCTCTAATCCCTCCATACACCCCAGACCTAGGGGTCATGTTATAGCAGCCAGAATAACCAGTGAAAACCCGGATGAAGTAAGATTAAACAACAAATAGACATGATAAAATATGACAGTAAAACGAAAATAATTGCAGAAAGCATTGTCATAGAGGTGATCTAGTTGTATAATTGCTGTATTTAAATGTTTTTTTTCCATAGGGATTTAAGCCTAGTTCTGGGACTGTCCAGGAGTTGAATTTCCGCAGCAGTAAGAATGTGTGGGGGTACTTCAGTGTGTCTGCCACTGGAGGCTTACATGAGTATGCTGACTCCCAGTTTGGACACTGCTTCTCCTGGGGAGAGAACCGTGAGGATGCCAGAGAGTGAGTGTGGGGGTAGGGTTGGGGGGATAGGGGAATTTGTGATAATGCCTGGTATCATGATATTTTGTGTTTGCTAAAAAAATGTTTCAAATTGATTGCATTTGTTCTGAGTAAAAAGAATCAATTTATAATACATTCATTTTCTCCAACCATTTAAGGTTCCCCCAACTTATTATATCTAAAATAATTAATATGGGAATTTTGATTTAGATGAAAAATGAACAGTAAAGGTTTTAAAGAACAGAAAATCTTTGGAAGGAAACATTCTGTACCTCATTTCAAATGAATTACAGGAATTTAGTGGTGGCATTGAAGGAGCTCTCGATCCGTGGAGACTTCCGCACAACAGTGGAATACCTCATCAAACTCTTCGAAACAGAGGAATACCAGAACAACAAGATAACGACAGGCTGGCTGGACAAACTGATATCTGAGAATGTTCAGGCAGAGAAGCCAGACGTCATGCTGGGGGTGATATCCGGAGCGCTCCACATTGGAGACCACCAGATCCAGGAGTGTTTCCAGATGTTCCAGACTTCCCTGGAGCGGGGACAGATCCTGCCAGCCACATCACTGAAAAATCATGTGGATGTGGAGTTTATAAGTGAAGGGATCAAGTATAATGTCAAGGTGATCATAATAATAATAGAAACAGGACGTATTTGAAGGTTATGAGTAAAAATTTTTTTTAGAGTTGAATGAGAATTTATGGCATGTCATGAATGTTAGGTTATACATGGATCAATTTTGAAAAGGAAAAAGAAAATATTGTGCATCAAACAATTTCAGAATTAAATGCGTGTGTAATATAATGCCTTTGACAATTTTTTTTAAAAACCAGTGAATACAGTTTTGTTGTGTTGTTTCCTAGGTGGTGAAGACGGGGCCAAACAATTACTTTATTTGTATGAATGACTCCATGCTGGAAGTGGAGGCCCACAGGTAATTTAGAGATCAGGCCTTGAGACCATAAGCTGAGAACAGACTTACGTCGAAACTTTTATTGTGAATATCTTGAGTTTTATTTAACATATGTACTTAAAATATGCAGGTTTGTAAAATATTCTAATTTAAACATAAGTTAAAAATTTTGTTTTGTTATGAAAATTATTTCAAAAGTAATTTGAAATTTTGACTTTAGTCTATTCTCAGTTTATGGTCTTAGGGCCTGTTTGATTATTCAAATTACAAATCTAGTGTGACATTTCAACAAATGAAATAAAGGATAATGTACATGTAATTAAGAAAAAAATCATCTTGTTAAGTTAACAAAGACAATTATTCATAATATTAACATTTTATACTTTATAATTTGTTTTAAGGCTAAGTGATGGTGGCTTGTTGATCTCGTTTGATGGAGCCAGCTTCACTACGTACATGAAGGACCAAGTGAGCAGCTACAGGATTACTATAGGAAACAAAACCTGTGTCCTACATAAAGAGAACGACCCTACCAAACTCAGGTATTTTATGAACTGTGTAAAGGGAGAGAACTCTGAAAGAAAAAAATTTAATCTAAAATCAAATATATCCAAAGAACTTATCATGCTTTAGTTAAGGAATATAACATCACAAAAGCTGATATTTATTTTATAGAAAAAATTTTAATTAATATATTAAAGATAATTTAATATACAAGGTTATTTTTGCTGTATTATGCTCTCAAACAATTTGCTCCATTTTAAATTCACTCAGACATTTTTGTGTTCAAAGAGAGATAACTTTTAAATTTGTAATCATCCTACCCACAGCTCAGGAAGGCAAAATAAAATGTGGGCAAAAATTTCCTTGTTTTCTTATTTCTCTTGCATATTTCTTAATGCTTTAAAAATTAATATGTCCTTTTATTATAAAGGTCTCCCTCTGCTGGTAAGCTGTTGAATTACATGATAGATGATGGTGGTCATGTGTTTGCGGGGGATGTGTACGCAGAGATAGAGGTCATGAAGATGGTCATGGAACTAAGGGTCACAGAAAATGGATGGTAAAGGATTGGAAAAGCAAATTTTTTTTTTAATTTTGAATTAAGGGGCTTTGTTTTTAATGATTTAACCAGAAATGATGAATGAAATGAAAAAAAAGAGATTGAAAATCTAAAAAATTGAAGTTGATATGATTGAATAATTTAATGTCATTTATCTCCTTGGATTTGTGGCTTTATAAAGGTTTACTTTTCCAACATTCTGATTTATCAAATCTTGCTTTTCCTTGGAAGGTAAGGTATATAAGTTTCACAATTTTTACACAACTTTCTCTGTGTTTCAGTGTTCATTATGTAAAGAGGCCTGGAGCAGTATTGGAGGGGGGCAGTATTGTAGCCAACCTTGACCTGGATGACCCCAGTCGTGTCCAGCAGGCCCAGAGCTTCAAAGGGAAACTCCCCCAGCCTCAGGCCCCTCCCACACATGGGGAGAAACTCCACCAGATCTTCCAGAGCACTAGGGCAGAGCTGGAGAATATTCTGGCCGGGTACACACTGCCAGATCCTTACTTTAAACCTAAACTACAGACCTCTATAGAGAGACTGATGAAGTGTCTGAGGGATCCATCACTACCTCTACTGGAGCTGCAGGTAACAATACAGAATTTGGAAAATGAGAACTGGCAGTAAACTTAAAATTTAAGTTGAATGAAAAATTATACCATTTTGAATATCATTATGATATCAACTTGATATGATTCACTTATGGGGACTGTTAAAGATCCATATATATTCAAATTTACCTTTCTTTCTAATATTAGTCCTTGGAAGTTGTTAAAAAAAATCAATATTTACATGTACTGGTAAATTTCACTCTGTTGTGAATTGGATTTCCATGTAATAGATGATGGTTTGTTTTTACTTATAAGTATTTTCTAACACTAAGTATAATTGTGTTTCTCAGCTTGAAATTTGTGGCTGGTGTGAGTGACAACAATAATTTTATTTGTCAGGATCTTGTTGCCATGATATCTGGGAGAATTCCTCCACAAGTGGAGAAAGCCATCAAAAAGCAGCTTCAGTCATACTCCAGTAACATCACTTCTGTACTTAGTCAGTTCCCAAGTCAACAGGTAAAATCCAATAACATAGACTCTGTAAAAATTTAAGGGGGAGTATGCTTGCCATTTTTTTTTCTAGATGTTTAAAGAATGACAACTTTTAATAGAATCACCTGCGATAAAAATATTTAGGTTGGACAAAGTTTATGAACTAAATGCATTAAGTTAACCAAGAATTTAAAACTTCTAACTAAAATTGACCACAGGGTCAGATGAAAACAGAGAAAGCACAGAGATTCAGTATGTGTTTTTATGCACATGTATCTGAATTATTTAGTTGTTGAAATGTTAATATGTTGATATTCAAAATACATGTACTTGTATACATAGCCTGGATAAAGTGTTTTAACATTCAAAATATTTAGGAAGGGAGGGATATAGTTTTTTTTCTAATCAGTGAAAGATAGAGTCGTGTATTTTGTCACTAAATTAAGGTTTGCTCATGTACTTTCATTTTAGATTGCGAATGTGATAGACAGCCATGCTGCCACACTTACAAGAAGAACAGAGAGAGAAAACTTCTTCATGACAACACAGGGCATAGTTCAACTAGTTCAGAGGTTAGAGGTCAAAGGGTTTTACTGACCTTTAGTAATCTCAATTGTCTAAATATCTTCAAAGCATATCAGAGAGGGTATATTTTCTTCGACAAGCATGCATATCAATGAAACCATATCAGATTCATAAAGAAACCATTACTTGAATGTGTCTTCCATTTGCATGACAGTTCTATCATAAAGCTTAATGGAATGTATTTTGTACATGTTCTTTGTGTAATGCATGTGACATTTTCTTTTGACAGTGGATCTAAGGGGTAATGCTAGTGGGTTGTGAGTAGATTGAATTGCAAGGTTTTAAGATTTCTGGACACCCTTTCAACTTTTTCACAATCAGAACAGATATACTTTTAGTACAGTACATGCACATTCCTGAATTTTCTTTTCATTTTGTTAATGAAATAGTCAGATACATTATGCACGCCTCTAAACTTGAAAACGAGGGAATTTTATTTGAAAATCCAAGAAACATCATCCTAATTGATGCTTCATTTATATCAAAATAGTTTTCCAATGCATTCAAACTATTATCAGTTTCCAGGTTCATAGTAAACATTTTGATTAATAAATGGGAGGAAGCCCGTACTGAGATTAATAATCTTGAAAACTTGTATGGAACTGTTTTGCACTCTTCATAGACCTTCTGGCATTAACCCCATTTCTATTCTTTTTGTTACCACAGCCTAAATGTTCTGTATTTGTCTATGTAATTCCAGGAACTACATTCTATATTTTGTGGTTTTTGTGTGTCTATGTGCCTGTTGATTGCTTTTCCTACCCCTCTCTTTCTCCTTTAAATGTGCTTCTGTAATGACCATAACTCATTATTACCATAATCCCAGTGATAAACAGTTGTACTGAATCCCACACGGCTTTTTAAGAATTAGAAGGAATAAGTATCTGAAAATTTGTTCAGTTCATGGTACATTGTATTTAAAGAGTTCTGGTGAAAAAAAAGACTAATATCAAAACAACACTATGCTTTCACCGGTGTTTAACACAAGGGTAATCTCTGAATTGCAGATATCGTAATGGAATTAGGGGACACATGAAGAGTGTTGTACAGGACTTACTGAAACAGTATGTCAGAGTAGAGGTCCAATTTCAACATGGTAAGTCCATCCCTCCCCCCCCCCCCCCAAAAAAAAAAAAAAAAAATATGAATAAAAATTGATGAATGTATACTTTGTCACATAATTTCATCAGCCATTTATGATGAAATATTTTATATGGAAAATTTTAACCTTTACATAATATTATTTAATATGGCATTTTAGCTTAATAAATTAATTTTGACAGGTCACTATGATAAATGTATAGCTCAGCTGATATCTAAGACCAAGGATATGTCTGCTGTCGCTGGTAGCATCTTCTCTCATCTGGCTGTACAGAAGAAAAACATTCTCATCACCATGCTCATTGTAAGAATCATTGAATTTTGAATCCTGTGTTTTTTACTTCAATAAAATGGCTGACATTACAAACTTCAACAATATTTCTTTGATAAGAATGCTGTCAGTTAAATAAATGTATGATTGTTTTCATAATTATGAAGTCTTGATTTTAAAATGTAACCAGAAAAGGTGAATAAATAAATTGTAGCTTTATTAAAGAAAAGAAATGGTACTTTGGAACTGTAGCCAACTAGCCAAAAATCTATTAGTAATGGTAATGCTACATTTTCTGTAGGACCACATGTGCAGGAAAGAAGCTGGTTTGACTGATGAGTTGGCTTCCATTCTTACTGAGCTCACTACATTGAACAATGCTGAGAATGCTAAAGTAGCCCTCAGGGCCAGACAGGTATTCCATTGCTTATACGAGGGGTTATCAAAATGTTCGTGGACTGCCGCGATAAAATTAATAATATGTAGTCTTTGCTTACAAAATTTATGCGGAACATAAAAAAACAAAAGTTTAACAAATGTTGAAAATTTTAGCTCGATACGTTGATAATTTGCCAAATTATTCTAAAATTAAAAAGACTTTATGTGATCACCCGGCGCTGTCGCCGTTTAGTGTCATGACGTCCGCTTAACGTCATCGTTTCTTAATGTCCGCTCTCTCTACCTCATACACTTATCTTGATGAGATTACTTGGAGTTTAGTAAGGACTTAAACCCGTCTTATTTATATGAATTTACAATGTCATGAGCAGCTGTTTTCAATGCATATAATATTGTAAATGTATCTTTATGTGGGGAAAGATCCTCACTTGATTATGCCAAAATACTTAGCTTGTTGGAGTTCAATTTCTACCACACATGATCAACGTCACTTTTCGACGTGACTGACTTTTGACACCCTGACTACAAATCGACACTTACTGTGCATATTTCATCTCTCTGAATCTTTTTGGGCATTAAAAACAAGTAATCTGGATGCATTTTATTTTTCTGTAGCCAGTTTAAACATTCCTTAGGTCAATACCAGTTTTTCCAGGAGCGAAACTCTATAGAGTGTTTGAAAAAGAAACCCCTCCCCCTTTTTGACGTTATTTTCAAGCCCATAATTGTTTGGACACTCCATATAAAATTTACGATAAAATTTCATAGAAATTACAGAATGGGGTAAATATTGCAAATTTTACTGAACAAATGTGTCGTACCACATGCTTAAATTAACGAGATTTTTTGATGACAAATACTCATATCTGAAGAGTTTTTCTCATTACACTCAGGTAGGAAAAAACGTCGTATTAGAGGTTGCGCCGCCTGGACATACCTTTGCTTACAAAAACACTAACAATTTATTAAAAAAATAAAAATTATGACTTATGGTTTATTCTATAGATAGAAAAGATGATGCTAACTAAATGTGTAAAAATTCATTGATGTACCTAAAGCGGTTTTAATTTTATGACGCTAGTCCACGAACTTTTTGATAACCCCTCGTATAAATCATTATGATCATCATACAAAATATTCTTTTATTTGTGTATCAATTTCTCTTGCATAGAGCTCTTAAAAACATAGGAGTCAAGTATTTATTTAGGTGATGATATTTTTAAGTGATGGAATTTTTACATGATGGAAATATTTTTCCCCACTCACAAATGTTTGAGAGTTGATACTTTGTTAGTTACTGTGATAAATACTTTAATACATGTACATATATTTACATTTCCAAAAAATTTTCCTTAAGAATCTTTGCAAATGTGAAGACTGTTCATTTTCTCATGAACTACCATGGATGAGCATGAATATCTCCATTGTTACGTCATAATACCGCACTTGACGTCAAAACTATAGTGCAAACTGTTTTGCTTTAAGAATGACAGTTGAATGGTGTATTTTATGGTAACTCATCAGAAAATTATGTAAATATAAGAAATGAATTTAATTTTTGAAAATTCATGAGGTACATGAACTACAACGCTTCACGCCGGCATATTTATCATGAAGCGCTAATTAAATTCATTTCTTAAGTATATTGTATGTAGTTTGATTTGGGTTGTAATTTTTTCAGGTGTTGATAGCTGCTCACACTCCCCCTTATGAACTCAGACATAATCAAATGGAATCCATTTTTCTCTCTGCCATTGACATGTATGGACCAGAATTCAACCCGGAAAATCTACAGGTCTGGCAGAACTTTCATAATCTTTATCTTCATATTTTTATGTCCTTGTCAGTCCACTGAGAAAAAAAAATTCATTGGAAAGTAAAACTCTTAAGATTAATACAATTTTGTGTCTGTACAATTCCATCCTAGTTCAATGTTTCTTATACATTTACACTTGCATATGTACATGTATTTAGAAAAGAAAGGCTTATTTGGATTTCTTGTATGACGTAAGCTTTTAAGGTTAAACAAATTTCTTTTTTACGGATTGTCTGGAATTTATTTTTGTTGTATCTACACATAGTTCTGAAATACCTATTGCATGAAAATTCCTAGTTTTTAGTTTGGAATTGTATATTGTTGATATTATAAGATTTTGTTACATTTTTTAAAGTATTCTATTACAATTTACAAAAAGTAATATACTAATTAGTCTACTAATAAATGTATATTATTTTGTACCTAATGGGATAAAATTTAGAGAATCAGTTACTTTTAAAGTTAATTGTAGCAATTAAACTTGAATCATCAATTATGTTCTATTAAACTTTAAAGCCACTAGTAGTTATAATCAAGAACTCTTTCACTTACAGAGTATATACGTGTATATTGAATCCATTTCAGCACCTAAAATGGTTTTAATTCTTACCTGAACATGTAAAGAAAAATGCACCAAGTTTAAGATGCAGGAAAGTAGGAGAGAGTTCAAGGATTACGGGAAATAATTCAATTAATTGTGACTATTTATTTGTGTTTTTAGAAAATCATCCATTCAGAGACAGCCATTTATGACATCCTTCAGGAATTCTTCTGGCATCCTAACAACCTAGTCAGATCTGCTGCCTTAGAGGTGAGAAGCAGCATTCTTTGTCATGGATAAATTTTCATGATGACAGTTTCATTAACTCATTTTCAAGTTACACTTCGTTTCTGAGAAAAGTTTTTTTTTTTCCTGCATTTGTTTAGTTTAAGGTTCTTTACCCCTCTGTTCACTTATATGAAATTTTGCTTTAAAGATAATGACTTTGTAAAAGCAATTCAAATTATGCTATTTGACAATTTTATAAAGGAATAATAATCATAACTCAGGGTGAGAGTTATCTCTCTTATCGGAGGGTCCGTGAACCTTAAAGTGAACTTTTTACAGCTCATTGCACTTTTCATGAATGATTTTGTACATGCTTTAATGTTTTATGACATAGGTGTACATTAGGAGAGCATACATTGCTTATGAGGTGAACTGTCTCCAGCATAGAGAACTTAATGGGGATATGTCAATGGTGGAATTTAGATTCCTCCTCCCCAGGTCACACCCCAACAGGTAAAGGATTATGAAGACATTTATACAAGATATAGAGAAACTTGATAAAGGAACAATTTTTAGATGAAAAATAAAAATATATATATATATATATCTCTGAATTAATCTTTATTTTAATTGTCATTTATTGTCAGAGATAAAGGTTTGAATAATGGTCAGATTGCAGTTTCATATTCTTCATTTATAAATTTTGTGACTGCTCAAAACTATACATATCTAAAGAGCAATGGAGGTACAGGAATATGCACATACCCTGGGGGAATATGTACATGTCTTTGGTTTGATAATTACAATATACAAAAACCAGTGTTTGTTTTGTTACTTTCAGGCTGATGGTGATGCGCTATGACAGCAGTGACAAGGTGTCTGGTCTGTCAGACCCTGAAGCCCACATCGATCAGCTGGAGGAACCGCCCACATGTCAGAGAATGGGCATCATGGCGTCATTTAACTCAATGGCAGAATTCGAAATGTGAGTAGTGTTGAACTGCATACTGAAGTTTGGAAAGGAAAATCTCAACTAGACATTATTATATATATGAGCTGATAAGTCTGCATCCTTGTAAAAAAAGATTTTTAAAAAATTGTAAGATTTCATAAAAGATAATGTTTTTAAAAATTGTTTTTATAGCTTCTTTGAGCAGGTGTTGGAATGTTTTACAACGGAGTCAGACAGCCCACCTAGCAGTCCAACTATACTGGCCAAGAGTCCAGCCGGCAATGAGGACTCCATCTCTCTACATGTGAGTGTAACTTCTGATATAAAAAAAAGAGCAGAAATTCAAAAAGTTTAAAAATGATGGAAAGTTATTAGGTTGCCATCTCATGTTGCATATGTTTCACTACTATATCTTGCTCCAACCCATTTTTAATGTGCAAAATTCATGGTGTATTTATCAGTAAAGGGCACCAGAGAACCAATTTTGATAAACTTCTTTACAGAGTTCCTCAGATCCTGATGAGCCAATCCATATCATAAATGTAGGAATTAAATTCAGCAAAAAGGAGAAGTACGACGACAATGCTCTAGCAGTCAAGTTCCAGGACTTTTGTAAAGAAAGGGTATGGACTCAAATCACAAAGTCAAAACAAAGCTTGAAGCTGCAATTCTCTATCATAAATCTATTATGGCTTTCGTTTGAGATAATTGTATTTTTAATGTTCTGTGATATTTTTAGGAGCAGTATTTGTGTGAGAAGGCAATCAGAAGAATCACGTTTCTGGTCTACTGTAGGGTAAGTCTCAAAATGAATGTTTTCATTGTGATTGTTGCAGGGTAAGTCTCGAAATGAATGTTTTCACTGTGAATGAACTATTACTATATTGTGTCACAATATGTATTTCAAGTTTTCTGTATGTGAAGCAATTTCATTTGAGTATGTGTATTGTATATGTGTTGTAAGCTTGGATTTTATTTCTCTTCCAGAGAAGTTCGCCAAAATATTTCACATATCGTGCCAAATTTGATGTAAGTAGAGAACTAGAAATATTCACCTATAAAGATGTAAATAAAACACATGAGAACAAGTGATGTGTTTTAAGAATTGTCTCTTTCTTTTTAATGTTTTAGACTGTGATAATCAAAATTGTATACTTTTTAGTTTGGTGAGGACAGGATTTATAGACATTTGGAACCAGCCCTGGCTTTCCAGCTGGAGATCAACAGACTGCGGAACTTTGATCTGGAGGCTATACAGACCAACAACTACAAGATGCATTTGTATCTGGGAAAAGCTAAGGTAGATTTTTACTCAGTTCTGATTAGAGGGAGAGAAATCTTACAGTATACGTAAATCATATTTTCTGCCTACCGTATATACTCGCCTATAAGTCGGTCCGCCTATAAGTCGGTTGTGATTTTTGAGGTTGTTTTGGAGGGATTTGCCATTGACCCGCCTATAAGTCGGTACAACTTTTTGCCAGGATCGGTGAACAATTTCAAATAAATGCTCTAATGTTTTAACGTGTTTCAAATAATATTTTGAGAAATTACGCCGATATTTTATCTCTCTTTTTTTCTTCTCTTATAAATTTCATATCAATACTCTAATGTATTTACCTGTGTTCAAATAATACGTTAGGATATGACATCGGTAATTAATATTTTCATCTTTCAACAAACCAAACCACTACCATTTTCGTTTTCTTTTTATACTGTTTTGTTTAAGCGTTAAATCCCTTGTCTTGTATATTTATATTCTCGATCATAGGCAGATCTCGGTCTCTTTGGCATGGTGATGAACTATGTAACGAGTGTAGCAACATTTTGATGATATTTAATCAGGAGGTGCTCAATGTCCAAGCCATATCTATAGTTTTAAATAACGCTATGTTTGATCTATTATTAGCAATTATTGTCTCTTAATTACCTGTACTCCTTACCTGACACCGTGTTTATTTAGTGGCACGCGCCCCGAGATATTTGTGTACCACACAAGGGATGCATTTTCATAAACAATCGAGTTATAATAGACTCCATAAAAATATTCAGAATTATTTTTTAAGAATGTTATATCTATTGTCAAAAAAATTGCAGACGGTTCATATAATTATACATTTATGCTGAACGTATTATATCGGGTTCGCAATTCAATTTTACCGATAAACGATAGATTTACAGTAAGTCATAAGTTAGTTCAAGGAATATTTTTGTATATAATTAATCAAATAAATAATATACACTTGAGATCAAAATAAAATCAATAAAACATGTAAATACTTGTACTTAATATATAATCTTATAATACATAAATAATATGATACGTCCAGACATTTCTCAACGATAATCGTCGAAGTTATGTAAAAAATACTACATTTCGTCGCGTCGTCCAGAAAAATTCTAAGCTTTTGATGACTCGCCTATAAGTCGGACGTAGAGTTTTTGACCAAAAATTAACTCCCAAAAAACCGACTTATAGGCGAGTATATACGGTACCTCAACGTATTATGTAAACAATTTGAATGTTTGAAAATCACTTATTGAAAATGTCTGATTTTTTGGTGATCATTATTATTATTTTAAGCTTGTTGCACTACATAAATTGTTGGGAAATTAAAGTTGATTGAAAATTTTAATGAAGTCGGAGAGACTTGACCAAACATATTGTACCGGACAACTTTAAAAGGGAAATAACTCTGTAACTTGTGTTATAAACTTTTTGTTTACTGCGTAACAGGTAGCAGCCGGGCAGGAAGTGACGGATTACAGATTCTTTGTGAGAGTGATAATCAGGCACTCTGACCTCGTCACCAAGGTAAATGCACACATAATTATGCATGAAAAAGTTATTCCAATTAAACCAAGTATTTCTTGTCAAAGTTGTCTTTTATTTGTAATTTTGTATATGACATCACCTGAGCTGTTGGGTTTTTTTCAAATAAACACAGGCCTTATTTAAATTACACTGAATTGACAAAACTCTGATGGTACGTGTTATTTCATTAGGAGGCCTCTTTTGAGTACTTACAAAATGAAGCAGAGAGAACCCTCCTAGAGGCTTTGGATTCATTAGAAGTGGCATTCTCCCATCCACTGGTGAGTTAGGTTTGATAATGTCCTGTTAATTCACTTATTTTTATTGATTTAAATTTTGTTTGGTTGAGGGGAAAAAATTGGTTCATGGGGATTAATTTTTTTGGTTTGTAAACAAGCTTGATACTGTAGTTTGAAATTTCAACATTTTCTGGAGGACATGAATTATTTGATCTCTCATACCTTGAAACAACAAAAAACAAAAATGTCAATTTGTATCAGAATCATTGTCTACAGTACTAAATGGATATTGTGTAATAATTCCAGTCCAAGAAGACTGACTGTAACCACATATTCCTGAACTTTGCACCAACTCTGACCATTCCAGAACCAGGCAAGGTAAAATCAACATTGCGATATATACTCATGTTTTAATATATATATATATCACTGGTATTTTTGCCATTTCTGGTTATTACCATTGTGAACTCACAATACTTTTATATTGTTGTATCTCGACAGCTGGAGGAGACAGTCCGAGCTATGGTGATGAGATATGGCAGTCGTCTCATGAAGATGCGAGTTCTCAATGCCGAGCTGAAATTCACAATAAAGTAAGACTACTTCATGATGTTAAAATTTTCCATTGGATTCTGTTAAATGTACATTTTTGGGTTGTACATACAATGTATATTTACTTTGGAGATGAAAATATGTAAAGACTTCTCACATATATCAAGTTTTGGTGTTTGTTTTTAGATTTGCATCCAGTGATACAAGCATTCCTATTCGTCTATACCTGACCAATGAGAGTGGATATTACTTGGACATGAGCATGTATAGAGAAGTCACGGATCCAAACATGGGACAAGTATGTGTCATTTCAGATAGTTTTTATCAGTTTTTGCTTGCACTTTAATGACATATTCTACATGTTCATTGTATGTTAATTTGTACCAAAACTGTATTCTTAAGATAATAAACATTTATCAGGGAAGGGGATGGGATGTGTAGGTAGATGGTTGCAAAAGTTAAAGGCAATTGTTTTCAGTATTGTTTGTCTACTAACTACATTTTCTCTAAATATTGTATTGACAATATGAACCATGTCAAATGAATACCTCATATCTGCAAACTGTTAAGATCAAGACTTCATAACAAGTCAAGGTCATATTTTAAGGGTAAATTAGAGATTTTACTTTACATAATGTTTTCATATCAGGTCAAAGTCATATTTTAGGGTGGATAAAGTATTGGCGCCTTCTGTTTATCATATCTGATATGTTTAAAGTCTAAAGTAAACAATATTTTAGGACTTTAATAATTATATTATTGTTAAGATATTCAACTGTTTTTCTAACTGTTACTTGGCGATCTTTCATAACAAATTGCTAAGCTAAGGACACATCTCTTCCCTAGCTTGCTTTCACTGGGCAACAGAAGAAAAATCATTTTTAACCATCTCCCTTCCTTCACAAAAACAATCAATCCAATTAATAATTGAACTTCTGGCATGTTTTTTGTCTTCATAAACCTTGCACAAATTATTATATGCTACTGCAAAGGAATTTCCAAGATAAACATTAAACTTTACAGCTGTTCTATGCTCGAGTACGATTAAGTCAACCATTTTTTTTCACAAGTCATCTACATATTGACATCATTTTCACATTGTGAGGTCACAAACATGGAGCAAAACATTACATCTGATATGCTTTTTATAGAACTTGCATATGACTATATGTATGCCAAATTTCATTCTGGTCTGAATTGTGAATTTGTAAATATAGAGATAGTTCACGAACTTTTTGATCACTCCTCTTATGTTTTATAACACTTGGTTTCCTTTACATTAAATTGAGGTGTAAACTTAAGCATGTGTATCAAGCTCTTGAGTACCTTCTCTAGGTGATGTTTGAAGCCTATGGAACAAAACAAGGAGCCCTTCATGGTCTACTGATCAGCACCCCTTACCCCACAAAGGACCATCTACAGCTTAAGAGATTCCAGGCCCAGTCAAGCGGAACAACTTATGTCTATGATTTTCCAGGAATGTTCACTCAGGTATTGAAAAAGACATGGCCATATTTAGAAGTGAAACACTTACTGTGAAAGCAGAAATATGCATTGGAGATTTAATTTGATAAAAAATAATCAAGGAAATTAAATTCCTAGCAAAATTTTTAACCAGACATTATTTTATTATGTTCACTTGATTTTTGAAACAACAAAATGAAGTCCCTATGAAATCATTTTAGATTGCAAATCAATAAAATTTTATCCCCACACAAATTCTGCTTATACACTAATTCATTGTATTTCATTATAAAAAAATGAGAAGAGAGGAAGATGAGTAGTAATAGAATGCTTGTGTAGCAGGGTATTTGGTATAACCCTTTCATTCTGTATTTCAGGCATAAAATTTTTAAAATTTTGATTAATGCTGTATTTGTTGATATATTTGTCTTATGACCTTCTTGTTCTGTATTTCAGGCCTTACAGAAGTTTTGGAAGGACCACAGAGAGGAAAACAAGATTCCTGCTGATGCCTTCAGTTGTATAGAACTGGTCCTGGACAAAGACAACAACCTCTGTAAACAGAACAGACTACCAGGGGAAAACGAGGTTGGACTGTAATATTGACTAAATCTGTTTTCCGTACACATCTGGAAAGTAAATGTTAGGATATCAGGGTTGTTTGGAATGTTATACTGTGTTCAGAGTTGGACGTGTTACCTTTCAGATTGGAATGGTAGCCTGGCAGATGACCTTGAAGACACCAGAATGCCCTGAGGGTCGTGATATCATAGTAATATCTAATGACATAACGTATAAGATTGGCTCATTTGGACCTGTGGAGGACCTCCTGTTTAAGGTATTACTTTGTGTAACAAAACTAATTCGACTATGTAATGATTACTTTAAAATTTTATTTGTCTGTATAAAATTAAAGATTTCTGTGCCAGATCAATATTTTTATCCTTTGAAAATCATTTTTCAGAAAGCATCAGAGAAAGCCAGAAGAGAGGGACTTCCCCGAATCTTTATCTCCGCTAACAGTGGAGCCAGGATAGGACTGGCCGAGGAGATCAAGCACCTGTTTAAGGTGGCCTGGAATGACCCCAAAGATATAGAAAAAGTAAGCTCATAGATCAGAAAATTCCACAAAGTAGTCAATCAGTACATAAACTTAGATAGACTTTGTCTAAAGTCCCTGCTATGGTATATTTCATTTTTATTGTACATATGCATACTAATGAGACAATGTTGTCATTTTGTTTCTAGGGATTTAAATACCTGTACCTCACCCCTGTAGATTTCAAGAAAGTTAGTGCCATGAATTCCGTCCATGCCGAACTTATAGAAGACGAGGGAGGACCGAGATATAAAATTATTGACATCATTGGTAAGGATTTCGTTTGAACTTAACATTTTGACCTTGAGCTTAACATTGATGTTCGGCAGAGCAATGTTCTATAAATTCAATTTTTCTTACATTTACAGGTAGAGAGGAAGGATTGGGGGTAGAGAATTTAAGAGGGTCAGGAATGATTGCTGGGGAGTCATCTATAGCTTACAACGATATAATTACAATCAATTTGGTTAGTGTTTGATTTTAAAACATTGACTGCTTTACTGTTACAAATGGTATGAAATTGATTTTAAGGAATGAAAAAGCTACATGTAAAATGTGAAAGAGCAAGTAAGGAAATGCAAAAGGGGGATCGAGGCAAGTTTAAGACTATATAAATAAATGTTGTATATTTAGGTAAATTTTCATGTTATTGGCCTCATTTAACTTATTTATTAGTAGCTTACAGATAATTTTGGTGATTATATTGGTAACATTGTTGAGCTATAGGGATAGGTGCCTAACTGGTTTGTTTGTAGCTTCAAATTATATTGGTGTTATATTTAGGTAACCTGTCGAGCTATAGGGATAGGTGCTTATCTGGTCAGACTTGGACAGAGAACTATACAGGTGGAGAACTCCCACATCATCCTCACTGGTGCAGGTGCACTTAACAAGGTATGGCAGTTATTTTAGGGATGGTCTGCTCAGTACATTAAGTTTTTTTTTGTTTTTTTGGTTCAAGTGAATGTTATGATTAAAATCAACCAGATTTAAAAAAAAGATGACATTGTGTAATCTGAATATATACTGTTTATATGTCTAGATGTCATTATAAGACTTAAGAAATTGAAGTTCTACAGAAAAAATGCTCTGTACTGTGGAATCATTTTATTTCATGAGTGTCAATGTTTGTGGGCAACCAAAATTTTACTAGTTCATTGGAGGGGGGGAGGGGGTAATTTCATGGGCAAGTTGTATATACAGAGTCAGAAGATTCACTGAATCAATATGTTGACAGAATTAGCTAGTGTTTGTAGGGAATGTAAATTCATGGGTAATGGTAATTCTTGTACATTGCTCCACCCCCCACAAACAAGGATGATTCCACATTATGATTTAAATATTTATTTTAAAAACAGGTCCTTGGGAAGGAGGTATACACCAGTAACAATCAGTTGGGAGGAATCCAGATCATGTACACTAATGGAGTCACGCATGACGTTACAGCAGACGATTTTGAGGGAGTCTACAAAATCATCAAATGGCTGTCATATATGCCTAAGGTACTATCCAGTGTAATAACTTTCACCTGAGAATAGAGTGAAACATACATGTAATTACTAGAAAAACCAGTCCTTATAGTAAGAAAAAATTATTAACATGATTTTTATTTTGTTTGCACTATTACAAAGGTAGTCTTTATTTTACCTGAATTGTTTTTTTCAGTGTAAGGGTTCTCCATTACCAGTACTAGACACAGGAGATCCTATAGACAGACCAGTAGACTTCATCCCCACAAAAGCTCCTTATGATCCCAGATGGATGCTGAATGGCCGACAAAATCCAGGTAAACTAGATGTATTCATTAATAGCATAATCACTGAATTTGGTGTTAAAATTTTTGATTAAAGGATAATATAATATATATATATATATATATATATATATATATATATATATAATATATAATATAATAATATAATAACTGCTGTGTTTATTGTAGATGATAAGAATTCCTGGCAGAAAGGATTCTTTGATCACAAGTCTTTTCATGAAATCCTACATCCTTGGGCACAAACTGTGGTCACAGGTCGTGCAAGGTTTGTCTCCCTTTATGCATTTACTGTAGCTTAATTATACACCCAGTAAGTATTAAGATGGATATCATAAGAAGAGGAAATCATGAGCTGTGTTATTTTTATGTGGTGTGTGTTATAGGTTGGGAGGGATCCCAGTGGGTGTGATATGTGTGGAGACTAGAACTGTAGAAATGACCATACCAGCTGATCCGGCCAATCTGGACTCGGAGACCAAAGTAATGACACAGATTAAAATCCTTATTTTACTTTCTTCATATACTTCATTTTAACAGAACAAGAATAAAGTCAAAACAATCTAAATACTTTTTTGGTTCCAAAATGAAATTGATTTGCAGTTTAAATATCATCAGATTTTTAAAAATCTACATTCATGAAAAAAAAGACTAAAAACATGAACATTCTGAATTTTTAAATTAACTTTTGTATCTAGGTGATACAACAAGCTGGTCAAGTATGGTTCCCTGACTCGGCGTATAAGACAGCTCAGGCCATTAAAGATTTCAACAGAGAGGACCTCCCTCTCATGGTGTTCGCTAACTGGAGAGGATTCTCTGGGGGAATGAAAGGTACAGAATGTTAATTAAGTCACAGGATCTTATACTTAACTATTGATACTTAGCTGTAATTCAGGTATTTTGATCAAATTATTTTAATTGTATCTAATGTGTTTTTTAAGCCAAATATTTTATGACATATTCAAAGTTTTTTTTTCTGACCCGGTGGAAAAAGTACGTTTACGGTATGCATATGTGTTGAACATCAGACGCTAGTTGTGTTAGTAAATATATGCATTGGTTAAAAGGTATTGTGCAATGTTAACTGTGGATCTTGTTGAAATTTTCAGATATGCACGATCAGGTCCTGAAATTTGGCTCATACATTGTGGATGCCCTCACAGAATATAATCAACCCATCATGATTTACATACCTCCTTATGCAGAGCTGAGGGGTGGAGCCTGGGTAGTGGTAGACCCAACAATTAACCCCACCCATATGGAAATGTATGCAGATGAACTCAGCAGGTATGAAATTTTGATAGAATATTATAAGAGAACTGGTAATTGAAGCATAGAAAGAGCAACTTGACAAAATTGTTCAATGATTCCAAGAAAAGGAAACTTAGTTTATCTTAATAAAAAAGATGACTCGAATTTTTCATTTACTGTTATAGAGAGACCGAAAATAATTCAAAATATGTAAATAAATCTCATTTCATGTCTTCCAGAATTTCTTCTTAATGTTCATGTACTGTAGACCAAATAAAATTTGTGTCATCTTTTATTCGCAATTCATCAGTTTTAAATTCATCCGCAACGATTAATTATCGCGACTGAGGAAACACTCTCTACAAATACAAAGCAAAATAAATGGTTCACGGCGATTAAAATTCATGAGTTAAAGTAGGTCGTGAAACTCGCGGATGTTTCTCGCACACGAAAAAAGGTTAGTTTACAGTAAGTTATTGTGATTATTTTATCCCAGGGGAGGTGTCCTTGAGCCAGAGGGAACTGTTGAAATCAAGTTCAGGAGGAAAGATTTGGAGAAGACCATGCAGAGACTGGATCAGACCTGTGTCCAGATAGTGGAGAAACTGACAAGTCCACAGCTGAATCCGGATGAAAAGGAAGAGCTCCAGAAGCAGTTGGCAGCTCGCCAGGAAAAGTTACTTCCTATGTACCACCAGGTGGCGATACAGTTTGCTGACCTCCATGACACTCCTGGTAGGATGGAGGAAATGGGGGTTATTACTGTGAGTGTTCTTCAAAATATTTTAGATAATATTATGCGTGCATTGTATTTTTATGACATTTTTTATATATATGTGTGCATAAAAATTTTGATCATTTTACACTTAAAGTGATATTTTAAATATGATGTAAATTAATTCATAAATCATGTCTGTCTTTCAATTCTTCAATATTTTCATGTGTTGGAGATAAAAAAAAAAAATTGGCTCTCAGTTTTAGTCTGCCTGACTTTCTTGTTTGGTCATTCCTCATGACCATGTGTTTAAACAGAACTTTAACTTTTGCCTTGATATTCTTACCAAGTATGACAACATTTTGTTACATATTTTCTCTGTATGTCTCACTGGCAAGAATAGAGTACTAAGTTAAAAAGCACAAAACATCATTTTCAAGTTCATTTAAGGACAGATGATACAAACGAAAAAATGGATGCCTGGATTGGTATATAATTTTTGACCTATTTTGGTTGCAAATGATGCAAATAATATATTTCTAAGTTATTTAGAAATTGTAAACTTTTTTGATGTTCAAAATTGTATCTTTCTGCAACTATTCTTATTACTGTATACAAATTTTTGTCACTTTAATTCCCATTATTGTGAAACTTTTCATATGAAAAATTATAATCTATACAGTTAAACTTATTCATTTTACTTATATAAACATGACTAAAGTAGTTATTTTGAAAATTTTTGATAAAAGTTTGTTTGTATCATCTGTCCTTAATATACATGTATTTTACTTGAAAATCTACGTTGTACCTGTTTATAGGTCAAATTCATAAAATTACTGAATGAATTTATGTTTGTCACACAGGACATACTTAAATGGCAGAACAGTAGGGAGTTCTTCTACTGGCATCTGAAGAGACGGTTGTTGGAGAGACAACTTAAGAAGAAGATGAAGCAGTTCACACACAATGTAGGGGAGGGGGAGCTCAACTCAATGTTACACCGCTGGTTTGTGGAGGACAGGGGCACTGTCAATGTAAGTACGCTGTAAATAATTTATACCTATATATAGTTAGTAAATAACTTAAATTTAGTGGTATGCAAATAAATTAATTTCATGGAAATTATTCCATATTTTATTAATTGAGTGACATGTATTTTTGGCTGTCTAAACACTGTTTATTCTTGTTTAAATAAAAGAGTCAAAGAAACATATTTTGTTATTAATGAACTTTGTATTTTGAGAGTTTTGTTACATTGAACAAGCAAGTTGTGTCTGTTTCTCAGCACCTGTACATTGTAGTGAGGTGTAATGAATTTATTATATCATATTGCCATGTTCATGTTTTAATGACTCTTTGTGAATAAAAAGTCATTGCTAAGAAAATAGTTTAGGGTAATTGTCAGTTCTTTATGAATGCCCTTGCTTTATGACTGAGTTAATCTCCTGACCTTTCATTGATATTGTAGGCCTACCTATGGGAGGATGACAAAGCTATGGTGGAGTGGTTAACAGAACAGATCAGTGAGGACAGTATTGACAATGCTGTATCAGACAACATCAGGTGTCTACAGAGGGAGCACGTCCTACAACAAGTCAGGAGGTATAGGCAGAAACAGCATACTATAGCTCACTAAATTTTCACAAAACCTTGTTGTTTGTATTTTTAAGTGAAACAAAATATTCAAGAATTTTGCTTTTTTGCTAGTAAAGTTATATGCGAGAATGAAATTTTTGCAAGCAGTCTTTCGTAATTAAGCAAAAGGTCTCACGAATAAAAAAGGGATTTATAGTACTAAAAACCAAAAAAAAGAAACTGTCTGGTTTGACTTGATTTACATATTAATCTACTACATGTGGCCTAAAGGCTCTATTATAGTATCATATGGAAGCATAACTAAAGCATACTAACAAAATAAAACAGAGGAGACCATCTCTATGACTCGGGGGCTTTACATGCTGATAAACAGTATACCCGTACATGCATCTAAGAGATTTTTTTTGTGCATTGTACTAACTTTATAATGCTTGACGTATAAATTGTTTCATGTAAAATACTAATCTATTCATTACAAAACTGTCATTTCTTTAATCTGATTTTCAAGAGATGAAGATATTTGAATATCAGTTTATTTTATGAACAGTTATTGCCTTGTTTCATAGACTAAAAATGCTGATAATTGTCTTCTGCTTGTCATGGGAAAAATTTAGTTTGCTTAAAAACTGATGATCTTGACATAAGATTTTCATAGTCTCCCTTTAATTGATAAATTCATGTATCCAATGCTTATAACTTACTGTCAAACTTTGTTATCTTGAAATCATTGGGACAAAAAAATTTAAAAAAACCCAAACTTTTAGATATATGAGGGCTCAAGATATTGAGGGTAAAATATTAACAAAATGAACCTAGGACTTCCAAATCACTTCAACTACAGAAGTTCAGCTATATTTTGAAATTAACAAACTTTGTTTCTGTTGACAGCTTGATACAAAACAATCCAGAGGTTGCCATGGATTCCATTGTCCACATCACACAGCACATGACCTCAAGTCAAAGGTCAGAAGTCTCCAGAATTCTGGCCAACATGGACACGTGATGAGAATGGACAATTAGAATCAACACTGACAGTATTTACAAACATATCATTGAAGAAATCATTAGAAACCATTAGGTGCAATTTGGATCAAATATTTGCATTAAAATGCATACATGAAATCCATATCTGTCATTCATAATGACTTAATTATTAGAATTATTTATAAATCCGTTTTGTAATTCAATTCAGTATGATATATGAGCCATTGCCAGGGTTTGAAAAAGATTATATTTGTTTTAATTTATTATAACTCTATCTATGATGAATATCATAATTTAGTGCTGAATTTTAAACCAAGTTGTATACTGAATATTAATTTATTGACTTATGAACAAATTTTCATTTGTGTGCATTGAATTTCTATAAATGTAAATGAATTAATGTATTGTGTATATTGAACACATATTTAAAAATAATTTAATGCTTCACCTAGCAATATGGTGAAATTTTAATAAAAAGATATCAAAAAGTGCATGTTTTTTGTTTTTCTTTCATGTTAAAGGAAGTGAATGGTATAGGAATTAACACTGATCTTTGTTTTTTTAGCTCACCTGAGCTGAAAGCTCAAATGAGCTTTTCTGATCACATTTTGTCCGTCTGTCCATCTGTCTGTCTGTCCATCCGTCTGTAAACTTTTCACATTTTTGACTTCTTCTCCAGAACCACTGGGCCAATTTCAACCAAACTTGCCATGAAGCATCCTTGGGTAAAGGGGATTCAAGTTTGTTCAAATGGAGGGCCACATCCTCTTTCAAGGGGAGATAATTAGGAATTGGTGAAAAAATAATGGCATCATTTAAAAATCTTCTTCTCAAGAACCATTTGGCCAGGAAAGATGAAACTTATGTGGAATCATCCTCAGGTAGTGTAGATTCAAGTTTGTTCAAATCATGACCCTCGGGGGTAGGGTGGGGCCACAATGGGGAATCAAAGTTTTACATAGAAATATATAGGAAAATATCTTTAAAAATCTTCTTCTTAAGAACAGCAAAGCCATGATTGGTCATATTTATATGGAAGCATCCACAGGTAGTGTAGATTCAAGTTTGTTCAAATCATGACCCCCGGGGGTAGGGTGGGGCCACAATGGGGGATCAAAGTTTTACATAGAAATATATAGGAAAATATCTTTAAAAATCTTCTTAAGAACAGCAAAGCCATGATTGGTCATATTTATATGGAATCATCCTCAGGTAGTGTAGATTCAAGTTTGTTCAAATCATGACCCCCCCGGGGTCGGGTGGGGCCACAATGGGGGATCAAATTTTTACATTGAAATATATAGGAAAATATCTTTAAAAATCTTCTTCTTAAGAACAGCAAAACCATGATTGGTCATATTTATATGGAAGCATCCTCAAATAGTGTAGATTCAAGTTTGTTCAAATCATGACCCCTGGGGGTAGGGTGGGGCCACAATGGGGGATCAAAGTTTTACATAGGAATATATAGGAAAAATCTTTAAAAATCTTCTTCTCAAGAACAGCAAAGCCATGATTGTTCATATTTATATGGTAGCATCCTCAGATAGTGTAGATTCAAGTTTATTCAAATCATGACCCCCGGGGGGTCGGGTGGGGCCACAATGGGCGATCAAAGTTTTACATAGGAATATATAGGAAAAATCTTTAAAAATCTTCTCAAGAACAGCAAAGCCATGATTGTTCATAATTACATGGAAGCATCCTCAAATAGTGTAGATTCAAGTTTGTTCAAGTCATGACCCCCGGGGGTAGGGTGGGGCCACAATGGGGGATCAAAGTTTTACATAGAAATATATAGGAAAATATCTTTAAAAATCTTCTTCTTAAGAACAGCAAAGCCATGATTGGTCATATTTATATGGAAGCATCCTCAGGTAGTGTAGATTCAAGTTTGTTCGTCATGATATCCCCCCCCCCCCCTCCTGGATAGGATGGGGTCACAATGGGGGATCAAACTTTACAGAGGATTATATAAGAAAAAATCTTTTTCTCAAGAACAGAAAAGCCATGATTAGTCAAATTAAAATGGAGGCATCCTTGGGAGTGTAGAATGAAATTTGTTCAAATGAGGGCCCCCTGAGGCAGGGTGGGGCCACAATGGGGGACCAAAGTTTTACAAATGAATATATGGGAAAAAAATCTGCTGCTCAAGAACAGCAAAGCCATTCGTTTTATTGATATGAAAGCATCATTAGGTAGTTTAAAATCCAACCCCCCCGTAAACTTTTCAATACGGAACTGATTTTCGCTTTTTTTCTAGCCAATGTGCTCAGGTGAGCGATGTGGCCCATGGGCCTCTTGTTTTTTTTAGCTCTACTGGTCAGAGACCAGAAGAGCTTATGCAATAGTAAGTGTCCGTATGTCTGTCCGTCTGTCTGTCTGTAAACAATTTTTTGAAAATGCTACTCCTCCTATTTTGGTCTGATTTCAATATAACTTGGCACACAAGTAAACTACACTAAGATACATAATTCTTTATACTGGTTTTTGATTTCGATGAACAGTGTTGCTGTGTTTACTAAAAATAGAAATTTCTTTGAAGTACTTTCAAAACGCTACTCCTCCCGCAGCTTTGGTCTGATTTCAATGTAACTTGGCACATAAGTAGACTGCACTAAGATTCATAATTCATTTTATCAAATTTGATTTCAATGAATCATCAATGGTGTTGCCAAGGTTACTAAAAATAGGAAGTTCTGTAAAATTCTTCAGTTTTAGTCTGACTGCAATCATTCCACGAAAAGAGACTAAATCAAAGATCATTTTTCTATTTATTGCAGTTGCAAAGTTTCAAGTCTACTAGCTACTTCTCTCTTCCCTTGATATAAGTAAAAACCAGTAAAGCTACAGTCTTGAGCTCGATAGAGACTTAAATTCTGGTCTCTCACCTAAAATCAGAAGACTCTGGATGTAGGATGTAATTTTCATGATAACCACACAAATATAGACATATAGAGATAGGTAAAACTATGAAGTTAGATATACAGGTTAAAAATATATGTCATATATATATGTTAAACAACCAGAAGTAGCCCACCTAATATCAAGACAAAAATTTGAGGTCAATTACACATAGAAATCTAAAGATTTGGAAAGAAAAAAAATGTCAACATCAATGTTAAATTTTTTTCTCTCTTAGACTTCTTTTATGCATTTGATCATTTAGGACCAAGATCTCAAAAGTCAAACTTAACAGCAGTCTTAAAATTGTGTTTACTATTGAATCTATCGACTATTGGAATACTAGGTGTCCAGGTAAGAAACTCTGTTGTTTTAGGATAGAGAGGTGAAAGGTGCTGACCAGTACTGTAAAGTTGATACACTTTGAAGAAAGTTGGCAAGCTTAAAAAAATCTTTTGAGGCAAAATTCATCTTTAAACTCCACATTCTGCGAGCATTATTCTAATTTAGGGGGGGGGGGGACCACCCACTTATGCCACTTATTCTAAGAATAATATTTTGCTATAGTAAATTTTCCTTTGGATACTGGTTCCCCCCCCCCCCTTTTTTTTAGCCCACCTGAGCTGAAAACTCAAGTAAACATTTCTGATCACCCGATGTCCGTTCGTCTGTCTGTAAACTTTTCACTTTTTCAACGTCTTCCCAAGAACCATGTGGCCAATTTTAACCAAAATTGATACTAAGCATTCATAGGCAAAGGAAATTTTAAATTGTTAAAATGAGGGAACAAGCCCCCTTCTAAGGGGAGATAATTAAGAAAAGGCAACAATAGCATGGGGTCATTGAAAAATCTTTTTCTCAAAAACCACTAGAAATTTACGTTTAAGCTTCCTGAGGTAGTGTAGTTTCTAATTTTTTTTAATACGTGGTTCCCGGGGATAGGATGGAGCCACAATAGGGAATAAAAGTTTTACATTGAAATATGTAAGGAAAATTTGTAAAAATCTTCTCAAGAACCATTGAACCAGGAAAACTGAAACTTAGGTAGAAGCTTCCTTAGATAGTGTAGATTCATTTTTTTTTTCAAATTATGGCCCCTGGGGGTAGGGTGGGGCCACAATAGTGAATTAAAGTTTTACATTGAAATATTTTGGAAAAGTCTTTTACATCTTCTCCTTAAGAACCAATGGACCAGGTATGCTGAAACTTATATGAAAGCTTTCTGAGATGGCATAGATTGTAAATTGTTCATATCATGGCCCCCCCCGGAGGTCGGATTGAGCCATAATTGGAATTATATAGGGAAAATTCTTTGAAACTCGTCAAATTCATGATGAATTATATAAATGTGGAAGCATCCTCTGGTAGTGTAGATCCTTTTTTGTTCAAATTATGGCCCCTGGGTATAGGATGGGGCCACAAAAGGAAATAAAAATACAAACTTTAAGGAATATATGAATGTTGGGGAAAAAATCTGACGCAAAAGAGCAGGGTCAAAGTGACTCAGGTGAACATTGTGGTCATGGGTCTCTTGTTATTATTGTTGTAAGATAAACACTGGCGAATTCCAGGATTTGGACAGTTAATGAGTTTTTTGTTTGTTTGTAAGATTTTTCTGGGAAGTTGCCGCTTTATCAGTTTTTGGTCAGTTTAGGTTTTTTTGCCTGTCAGATTTTTTGGAGAAGTTGCCCCATCCCCCCCCCCCCCCCGTCACTTTTGAAACCGTTGATGCGGTCTTGTCGTTTCATGCATTATTTGATAGTCTCATGCAATCAGACACTCAGCTGTCTCCAGAGTGGAGTGTCTGGTTGAACGAGACTAATTATTTGAATGTCTTTTTTCTTCACTCTGCACCATTTATGTTTGCTTATATCTCTCCATTCACTCATTTTCAACTTTCTGCTTCCTTGCAGAGCTGAAAATTAAAATGTTTTTGTCTTGAAATATAAAACGAATTATTGCATACCGTAGAGAAAGAATCAATTAGTCGGTCAATCTAATTAAAATTAGATGTTAGATCCGCGGCATTCTCGCTACACTAACTAGTTAGTGTTGCGAGTATGAGAGCGGATCAAACACCTTATTTTAATTAGATTGTCAGTCGGTTAGTGTGTATAGATGTACGCGGTTACAAAAAAATCTGAAATACATGTGTATATTGATAAATAAAGAATGCAAATTTTCTGTATTGAATTCAACACTTCATTAATTATAATGCAATAGTAAAATGTTAGCACTATCAGTTGTTTTTAAAACTAACAACTTACTGTATTGGAATACATGTATGATGAAAGAAAGTATTTGGTGAATGTGAAAGTTAGAATATTTTTTGAGAGAAACAAAAACATGTGTTATTCTCTTCCATTTTCTAGTTAATAAGGTTTTCCTAATGCGCATAGAATTTGGTTCAGGATAACCTTCATGCTACATGTTGTGAATTCTCAGATTTGTTCAAACATTAAGGAGGTTTTAAATACCGCACAATAAAAAGTTCTTGTTCCATGGTTCCATGGGTTGAGAAGTACATGGTATTTGAACAAACTTAAAACTTGTTAATTTTCTATGAATTTTGACGTTTAAAAAGCACAATCTTTCTTCTGTTTTTACGTAACTAGAGTATTATGGCCTTAGAACCTGCATGATTTCAGAAGAAATGTGTTACAAATGTGTTACTCAATTTGTAATTGATTCAACATTCCTTACATAAAATCATACAGTACTTAAATGACACATGTATTTCCCCCATTTCAGTGCGCAAAGCTTTTTATCCTGGGGTAAATAGCTGGTATCATATGCTGAAAATGAAATAAGAAAAAAACCAACTCAAAATTTACACCTTTAAATGCGATTTATTTTTTTTTTCAACTTAAGATTAAGTCAGAAAACATATGTAAATGAACTTACTTCAATTTCTGCAAGTCAAGTCATTGCATATGAACCAATTAAAGGAACAGCAACATTACCAATTGGTGTTCATTAAAAAAAGAAAGTATAGAGAGGATTTAAATCCAAGAAAGAGGAGTCTTAAGACTATAGGAGAATAGTTATTAACAACACTCGTACATTTGAGGTGGGATTGAAAATAATGCGCTAACGTCATCTTTATGGCATTTTTCTGTCAGAATAACCTCTGTAGTTGCACCAAGACGTTGATGGATGATCTCTGTGTTGCAGGCATAAAGAAATTTCCTAATGCATATAATGCAAAGACACGACAATTTCATGATATATTTATAAAAAAAACTCATCTACAGTACTGAAGAGACACAACTTAACAGAAAGAGAACCCCAACCACCTCCTGTTTCGCATATTCGGGTTCACTTATATTCGGGTTCGCTTGGGGTCTGCTAAGACTGACGTGTTCGATCGTCAGTGGCCAGATAGCTCAGTTGGTAGATTTGTTTGTTTGTTTATTGTTTAACGTCCCTCTCGAGAATTTTTCACTCATATGGAGACGCCACCACTTGCCGGTGGAGAGCTACAAATTTTGACCTATACTCGGCACTTAGGGCCATTGAGCAGCGAGGGACCTTTTTCGTGCCAGCACCTACTGCGACACGGCACCTCGGTTTATAGCGTCTCATCAGAAGGACCGGTCTCCACGTCCCACAGTGGGATTCTAACCCGCAACGTAAGGATCAACTACTTACTCCGCGACTCTAGAGCGAACGCTCTAACCACTGTGCCACGCATGCGACTCAATTGGTAGAGTACCGTTGTATAACTTTTAATTACATGTATTTATAAATTCAGATAGTTCCTGTTTAACATGTTGTTTATTTAGTATTTGCCAATGACGCATTTTCTTCAAGACACAACTTCCTTTAGTTCAATTTGATTAGCTTATTTCACATTTAAGATGTCTATCTTCATCATTTTTATCCTTGATGTATTTGATTTTTTTCATTTTACCACAATAAACCTCAGTCACAAAGAGATTGTCTTTGCTATCTACACATATACCAAATGGTGTAAATATTTCGGAGTCCACACGAAAACCAAATGATGCTTTTAAATCACAATTACTGATATGACGCAGGAACTGTCCATTCTGATCTAAGATTTGAATGCAATGGTTGTCGCCATCTGAAATCAAGATGTGACCATGACTGTCTGTAGTGATTCCGTATGCACATAGATTGTTACCGGTAGTAGAAGGGATAATAGTATATCTAAATCGCAGATTCCCGCCCTGATTGACTACCACAACTTCATTGGCTCCACCGTCAGCCACGCATATATCTAGATTTCTGTTTTCAGTAATGGATCTGTAACTATTAAGTGCAGATGAGAAGAGAAGGTTGTCTTCGTCATCAAATTGAATGGTTTGCTTTTCTGTTGATCCAGAGTAGCGGACTACCTTTGTTTGACTGTTTTCTTTACTTTCCATAATAACAAGGAGATCACCAGAGGAGGAACAACAGACACTGTGAGGTTTCCAGTTCTGTAACTGAATCAGTTTCTCTAATTTTTCATTTTTTACTAAGTACACACTGCTTGCTTCACAGGCAGTACAAACTAGTTCACCGGTCTTTGTTACATCCATGTCAATGAAATCGAGCCCAAATAATTCTTTAGGAGGATCGATTGACCTGAGTATTTTGCCATGACAATTGAAGAGTTTCATGATATTTTCAGCAAATATATTAGACGTCCAGATTTCTTCATCACTAAGGCAAGTTATATTGTACATTCCGAGGTCATGACCAATATGTATGCTATCAATGAGCTCTGGATCAATCCTTTGTCCTGCTACGGAAGCAGATGCATCTCTTTTCCTCTCAAGTGCATGCCAATGTTTTTGTGTTGTAACGGAAATCGTCGAGAGAAAACCAAATTGTTGAGTAAGATTTTCTGTATTTATATTTTTGGGAGAAAAACACGGAAAAGAAACAGTCACCTTAGAAAGAAATCTTCTGAATTTATCAGATTTCGCTTTGTATGCAAAGGCATTGGATTCTCGTATTTCTTTCAGATCTACAATGCCTTCTTTAACCTCTGAAATGTTTTGTGTAATTTCTTCTTCCTGTTTTTCCAAAAGAGCCAAATGTTTGATTTTCATCTCTTCAATTTTGGATGTTTGTTCTTTAACAATATTGTTTATCTCTTGATGCCATTTTTCTCCTTGAGAGGTAACAGCTTCTGTAAGTTTCTTATAATGGTCTTCCAATTTGTCTTTTTCAATTCTTATTTCTAAAGCAATTTCTTCATATCTAGGATGAAGCGTCTTCTCTAGTTCTTTTAGATCATTTTCTATATCTTTTATTTTGGACTCTAGCTTTTGCAAAACGTCTGTTAATTTATGTCCATGGTGTTCATCGGAGGATATGCAACTAGAACACACTGGAAAGTCACATACTTCACAGTAAAGGATACTATATTTGTCGGCATGATTTTGACATATTGGGTAATTGGGAGTAGAACCCTTTTCTTTATACGGTACAACCCGATGTTTATTGGATACGTCAGAGAGATGTTCACCAACACATCCTTTGCAGAGATTGATGTGACAAAGTTCGCAGTGACTTTGTAATATTTTGGTTTCACAAAGATCACATCGGAGAACATCTTGAGCACTGTACCGCGGATCCATCAGTGGTCTCTTAGTCACTAACACTCATATTTGTACTGCATAAATAGATAAAAAATATTTTGAAGGTACCGGGTAATAAGATTTTCAAATTTTATTGAAAATTTGAGTTGTAAAATAGGAATCCTAAAACGACCTCAGAATGAAAAATAAATCTGTGTGAATTAAGTTGTCAATGGTTTTATTGTTATAAATCTTCACAACTATCATAATTATAATGATCTAACATCTTAAAAAATTAAAACAAATTCTCCAGCGGTCCTTGAATTAAAATCATCCTTAGCATAATTCAAAACTTAATATTTATCAAGTTTCATCATTTGTTTAAATAATCCATACATGTATTTTATATATGTTTTGTATATATTTTTCCTTCTTTTTGTTTAAAACATATTAAAAACATATCATTTTATGATCTTGAATCCACATAATATTGTTTCTTACCTGTAAAAATGCAACATGGCCTCCCAAACAACTGTGTTTATTGTGTCTGTCTTCTGTTCTGTTTCGTCATGTGATTTAAGTCCTGCAATGAGATACTCTGAACATTACGTATATACATTGTCTGAAGTTAAATGGATTATTTGTTTTAACGAGATCTATTGATTTGCTAGCCTTGTAACCTTAAAATTGACATAACTAGAGTTTTTAAAAGAATATTTTATAACTTGCAGAAAGAATTTCAATTCTTTAAGGGATCCAATGTTCGCATATAGGGTACACTAGAGTCTACAACCAGTCGTAAGACATTTAGAAGATATGAAAGTAACTTGACGTACGAGACTTTTTTTCCAATAAAAAAATAATTCTTTCTTACTTAATTTTGTACCTCTGAATAGGCATGATTTTTTTCCGTAAATTTAAAGGTAGTAGTTACTAGCAACCTCCTAAAACTCAGATATTGTGAAAAAAATATACGGAACACTGCAGTTGCTTTTAATTAAAGTCCATGTTTGTAAATTCATACTGCAGTAGATATTGGAATAAAATGCATCTTCTCCAATAAGCAAAATAGGCAAGCAACTTTACCATAGGTCTTTGTGTTAAATTAATTTTGAACACATTTTATCACAATAATATTTTTTGCATCATTACTTCTTTCTTAACTAACTTCTCATAAATGAAGGAGTTGTCAGATTTTTGACATTGTTAGAGCAAATATTTTCATTTAGAAAGATAATCATCAAAAAGTTATTGAAATTTAATTTGAACTACCGGTATCAATATAAGTTAATATGTAAACACAGTCATATATGTTGAATTTTGCTGTTAGACAAGTTTATAAACACTATAATGAAAGTCAACAACAGTAACTTTATTATTTCAGGACAGTGGTATCACGTTGTCCGTATCATTATCTCGTTCTGAATTAATTTCATATTTTTTTTAGGAAGAATTTTTATGGTATTAATTGGCAATTACTATTTCTTCTGTGCATCCATGCCAAACACTCTAAGCAATTTTAGTTTTCGACATTAATATTTAATGCACAGGGGTATTCTTTCTCCTTACTTAGCCAAAGGTAAATGTGATTTTGATAATTACAGCAGTGATCATTAAGAAAATCAAACTTAAATGAATTTAGTTTGACGATTACAACAACACTAGTTACAAAGACTATGTATGAAGCTGGGAAGAAGGCCGTTTGCAGAAATAAAATTGTTATAAATGGAATTTGAAACAGGTTTCGTGGGACACAATAACTAAATCGATTGTTACCTTCGCCTTTTCCTTAGCTGGTGAATTAATTTTCTAACAATCAAATGAATATATATGCTTAAGTAATGCAGGGATTTATTAATTTACATGAAATAAACATTTTCTTAAGATCTCGGTATTTTTTTACAGATATATTTATAATTTGACATTTCAAATACATGATTAAAATATGCAAAATTAGATTCTTTCACTCCTATATATTTCTATTTTTAGTTTTTTCCCCGTTATATTTATTTACTTACTTAGTCCTCTTCGTGCTTTGAGCACATAGGATCGCCATTTCTGCCTTTCTGCTGACATTTGCTGCACCATGAAATCTAATGACAAATCTTTATAACATTAGGGCATCAAAGGTTGAAGGATCTAAATAGATGGAATTGAAAGTTGAAAAATCATTTTTCATGCTTAAAATTAAAATAAAAAGAATGTTATCAAACGCAAGTAAAAGCATTAGATTTCTAGAAATATAATCTTAAAGTTCAACATTTTATATTATATTTAATCGAGGACAAAAGGCACGTTATGTAAAACTCATAAAGTATTGTACCATAATTTTTTTTGTTTTCTCCCAGATTATCGGAAAAATACCCAGAAGGGTAGTATAACATGTCGTCATTTAGTACTGATGAACAGTGAAATTTAAGCTGAATGAAAAATACGATAAAATTATGTCATCAGATATTCATACGTGAAATATCAGATCGATATTTCCTATTCTTATGAAGCACAATTTATTCAAAAAACTTTTATATGAAAAGATGAAAGTTCTTGATGTGGCTTTCAATTGGTGTTATTGTTATCGTTTAATGAGACTTTCAATCGGACATTTACATATATGTATAAGTATATACGATGTTTTATCAATAACAATTGTTTACTGACTATGTTACCTCGGTGTGTTGACTCGATGTATCCCAGTGAACTTTCAATGAAAGACTTAACTGAGCCTGCCACATCTGTTTCATATTTGGACTTTTTTTTACTGACTGTAGACGTTTTTGGCAAACTAATTAACAACTTTGTAAAAAAGGATGGTCAGCTTTTTCCACTGTTAACATTCCCTATTTGTGTAGTTATATTATCACCTACATATTGTGTTTAAGTCTCCTAATTGAATCGGCAAGCAATTGAATGCTTTTAGTACGATCACTCCTCATTGAAACCCAATGCTTTGTTTTCAGGGATCAGGGTTTATGCTATGAACCAGGGATGGGGTCAATTACTTTAAAATGTAATTAATTAAATTACAATTACTTTGACTTTTTCTTCAATTAAATTACAATTAAATTACAGGCTTTCTAAGACATGTAATTAATTAAATTACAATTACTTTGCAAAAGTAATTAATTAAATTACAAGTTACATTTTTTAATTTTTTGAAAATTTTTATAATCTTTGTCAATGAATATACAGAACATCATTTATTTGTATATAAGCTCAGCCTCTGCACAAACAGTACAAGAAATAATATGCTATAAGCATTGTGTATTGTTCTGGTTTAATTAAATTTTATAACATTTATTTACAAAACAATAAGAATCTCCTTAAAGAACTCTACGAGATCAGTTTGATGCAGTTTCCACCACACAAAACCTACATGTACACAAATTGCATGGCTTATGATATTTGATTAAATGCGAGTATTTTAATAGAGTGAAATGAATCGCAACTGTAACCCCTCAAATTAAATATTTCCTTTGAAGGTAACCTGAACATCCTCAATTGCTATTTATGTTGAACAATTTTACTTCATAAATCAGAATTGTACAGATAGAAAATTCATTCATAAAAATCTGTTTAGATGTTAAAATAATTATCAAATTGAAAGGTTTTTTTTTTTTTCTAAAGCTAGCGGAGCATTTTAAATTGAAATAATTATCTTCATTGGCTTTGTCTTCTAAATCATGGAATGAATATCTCTTTAGAGGAGTTGATTTGTTTTGATTGCAATTTAAAGCTGTGATCTGGAGGGCAATTATCTCTTCCCAACAAGAGAGAACTTAATTAATGACACACACCTTCTTTTTCTTTATTATTGATCAAACAACAAAGATTAAAATATAATAAATGTGTGTTTCATAGCTGAATAGACCTAAGATAGGTGGTTCAAAATTCATATTTATAAACATAGATCAAAAAATTCAAAATTTACATAATGATTAGAAAGAAACTAGTTTATTATTATCAAGCCAATCATTTAATTATTTTGTAAGCATTAACCTAAGATTTTGTATAAATGAAGGATTGAGGATATGTTTAACAATAAAATAAAAACCAGTAAAATGGGGAGGTAGTGGTGACGATATATCATGAATATATCATGAATGTGTATTATATAAAGTAATTGAATGTAATTGAAAAAGTAATTGAAATTACATGGTATTTTTTCAGGGTAATTAATTAAATTACAATTACAAGTAATTGAAAAAATGTTCAATTACAAATTACTTCCAATTACTTCAAAAAATGTAATTAATTACAGTCAATTACAATTACTTTTTTCAATTACCCCATCCCTGCTATGAACACGTTTGGGATTGTTTACAGTATCAATGATATTTACCACAGATGGTTATCTTGGCCTTTTCATTACATTTCGTACCCAGCTGAAAATAACATGAAATACGAAAGCAAATTTTTCATATTTTAAATATATTTAAAAAATAGTCACGTTTAATTAAAATTGGCTATTTTATTTCAAATAGATTACACTTTGTTATCAAAGTGATATCAAAATATTGTGCCATATTATCTAATGATGCTGACATGATATATCAGGATGCCATTCCTTTAAAAAGAATACTTTTAACCCTTTGAATCTAATGTTCTAAGATCTCGAGCTGCAATAAATCTAATCTAACTTGGACATTTTCAGATGCACTCTCTCTGTTTAAGGTAATAAGTCTACTATCTGATTCAAACCCTTAACGGCTTGGCCAAGATCAGGTGCCCATTTCCACCTGAATGATGTTATATAGATATAACTCTTTACAGTTACATCTAATCTAAATGTCTTTTGTTGCATTGCAAAGAGCAGAATGAGAACTTTCCATTGATATATGATATCATATATATAGTATCTGCATCTTTGAAATATCAACAGAAAAAAGTCAAAGATTCATAATTTTTGAAGCGTTATGCTGTTGCACTTGATTTTTTACATTATAAAAAATGGTTAATTAAAATTATTTTGAATGAAACATTCCAAAATAAATATACATTATTACAGAGAAATCATTCTGGTTAAGTTTATTTTTTACAGAAAAGAAAAAGGATAAAAATTG